AAGGTATCAGGACAGAGGATCAAGTGATCAAGGTGGCATATGGGATGAGGGTTCTGAGGAAGGGTCACTGGACACGAAACATTAACTTTGATTTTTTTTCTTCACAGTTGCTGCCAGACCTGCTGAGCATTTCCAGCAGCTTCTGTTTTTGTTAAGACCAGGGAGACTGTGCTGCGTTATCGAATAGGCCACAGCTAGAGTATTGTGTGCAGTTCTGGAAGCCACATTATCAGAAGGATGTGACAGCACTGGAGAGGGTGCAGAGGAGATTTACCAGGATGCTGCCTGGGCTGGAGAGTTTCAGTTAAGAGGAGAGATTGGATAGACTGGGGTTGTTTCCCTTAGAATAGAGTAGACTGACAGGGACATGATTAAGATGCCTAAAATTAATGAGGGCCATAGATAGGGCAGACAGGAAGAAACTTTTCGCTTTGATGGAGAGATCAATGGCCAAGGGCACAGATTTAAGGTAACTTCCTTAAGTTTGGAGGAAAATTCTTTTCACCTAGAGGGTGGTGGGAATCTGGAACACAGTGCATGTAAGGCTGAGAGAGGCAGAAAACTCCATAATATCTAAGAAGTATTTAGATGTGTATTTGCAATGCCAAAGCATACAAGGCTATGGGCCAAGTGTCAGAAAATGAGATTAGAATAGTTAGATAGTTGTTTCTGACTGGCAAGGACTCATTGGGCTGAATGGCCATTTCCTGTGCTGTAGATCTCCAAGACTCTACTCTACTCTACTAGACGTTTCAAAAAGTTTAAGACTTCGCCCCTTAAGCTTTTAGTTTCTAGTAAAAAGAACACCAATGTAAGGTCTTTCCTGATATTTTGGTGGCACAGTGAATTCTCAGGGATAACAGGTAAATAGTTTGAATTTACAGATTTGATAACGTTCTCAAAGATCAGAGAAAATTCAAAACAAAAACCGTGAAGAATGACAGCAGGAAGGTGCAAACAGACCAAAAATAATCAAAAGCCAAAAATGATGACAGGATCTAGCAAACTCTTCACACAACAGAAGTTAATTCACGGACAGAAATGGCTGAGTGAGATGGTGGAGGCGAAATCATCTCAATGTTATAGCCTAGAAGACAGCCATTCGGTCCATCATGCTGACACCAGTTTCGTAACTAGGTGCCTAATCTCCATGTCCCTGCAAGCTATTGCTATCCAAAATCATCCAATGCCCTTGTAAATAGTTTACTTCAACCTGCCTCCACCTCACTTCCAGGTAGTACATTCCAGATTTTAAACTACTCAGCACGCTGGCTCAGTGGTTAGCACTGCTGCCTCATGGCACCAGGGACCCAGGTTCGATTCCACCTCGGGCAACAGTCGGTGTGAAGTTCACACATTCTCCCGTGTCTGCATGGGTTTCCTCCCACAGTCCAAAGATGTGCAGGGTAGGTGGACTGGCCATGCTAAATGTAGGCTTACAGGGGTAGGGTGGGATGTTCTTTGGGAGGGTTGGTGTGGACTCAATGGGCTGAATACCTTCTTTCCACAGTGTAGGGCTTCCATAATACTTGCTGTATGAAAACACTTCATATTTGCTCTGTCCTGCGTTCCTTCCGAATGGGAACCAGCTTCTCCCTTCCTACTGTACACATGACTTTGAAAACTTCTACCAATCTCCTCTTAGCCTTCTTTCCAGGGAAATGAGTTCCAACTTCTTAAGTCTATCCTCACTGACATTTCACATCCCTGGAACCATTCCTGCACACTCTTCAATGCATTCACATCTTTTCCATAATGTGGTATCCACAACTGTACATACAGCACTCCAACGGAGGTCTAAGGGGGAGTCTTGTACAAGTTCAAGATCACCTTCCTCTTGAACTCTACAGCTCTAATAATAAAGCCTGTGCACTTTATTAACAAATAATACAACAAAATCTGAGGAGCTAGTTAAATGAGTGTCACAATTTGGGATGCTGTCTAGACTGAAGATGGAACTCCTAAAATGCCTCTTATTCTCTGAAGCATGTTAGAATGACAGCAGTGCAGTAATCCATTTGATCAACAGAGGGCAGCAGCATGCTTCAGAAAAAAATGACAGGGGATTGTATAGAGATGTGGTCAGAAAAGGGTGGGAGACAGACAGACAGACAGACAGACAGACAGACACTCTCCTTTAAACTGTATCTTCAACTGCCCCACTGACCTAAATCCTTTTTTTAAAAATTGTGTGGACATTAAATTTCATGCTCACATCATGATTCAATTTTGGTATTGTATCAGAGTTGCATTGCATGGAAACAGACCCTTCGGTCCAACTAGTCCATACTGACCACGTCCCCAAATTAAATAGTCCCACTTGCCTGCATTTGGTTTATATCCCTCCAACCCTTTCCTATTCATGGGCTTATCCAAAATGTCTTTTAAATGCTGTAACTGTACCTGCACCTTCCGCTTCCTCTGGCAGTTCATTCCACAAACCAACCATCCTTCATGGAAAAAGTTGCCCCCTCATGTCCCTTTTAAATCCTTCTCCACATATTAAAAACATGTCCCCTAGTTTTGAACTCCCTCAGCCTAGGGAAAAGATCCTTGCTATTCACTATCTTCACCCCCCCATGATTTTATAAACCTCTAAGGTTACCCTTCAACCTCCTACACTCGTGGTAAAAAGTCCCAGCCTATCCAGCCTCTCCTTATGACTCAAACCCTCCATTCTCAGTAACATCCTGAAATCTTTTCTGAACCCTCTCCAATTTAATAATATCCTTCCTATTGCAGGGCAACCAGAACGGGACACAGTACTCCCAAAGTGGCCTCATCAGCATCTTGTACAATCTCAATATGACGCCCCAACTCCTATACTAAAAAAGGTCTGAGCAAGGAAGGCAAACGTGCTAAATGCCTTCTTAACCAAATAAAAACCAAAAAGAACTGTAGATGCTGTAAATCAGAAACAAAAAACAGAAGAAGAAGTTGGTGGAAAAACTCAGCAGGTCTGGCAGCATCTGCGAAAAGAAATCAGAGTTAATGTTTCAGATCTGGTGACCCTTGCTCAAAACTGATGGTAGCTAGGAAACTGTCAGTTTATATGCAGAAAATAGGGTGGGAGTAAGGGGTAAGGAGTAAGGAGTAAGGAGTAAGGAGTAAACAATAGGTGGGGATAGAGCCCAAAGAGAGACGAGAGCAGTTGGACAGACAAAGATGTAAATAACGATTTAGCCAGGAGGGTGAAGAGTTATTGATGGGGAGTGTTAATGGATAACAACAGGCAGCATGTAATAGCAGGTTGTGTGATCACAAGGCCTAGTATGGGGGTAGGGGGCTAGGACATTGGAGCGTTCAGGCCCTAAAATTATTGAATTCAATATGGAGTCCAGACTGAGTATAAACTGGCATTTTCCCAGCTACCATCAATTCTGAGGAAGGGTCACTGGACCCAAAACATTAACTGATTTCTCTTCACAAATGCAACCAGGCCTGAGGTCTTCTTAACTACCCTGTCTACCTGTGACACCAACTTCAAAGAACCCTTGGCTTTGTAGATCAAATGTTGCTTCAGTTTGTGCTTGATTGGAGGAGCTGGTTACCAAATAAACCACCTCCCATCTTCAAGGTCCTCCTTTTAGAACTAACTGTCAAAATAAAATGAAGTAAGCGCGTTAGTAACCCCTTTTTTCCCCACAGTTTTAAAAAAAAAATTAAAGAGAGATAGTGGTGTAGTGGTATAGTGGTAATGTCACTGGACTAATAACCCAGAACCCCAGGTACATACTCTGTGGGTGTAGGTTCAGATCCCACCATGGCATTGGGCAGAAGTTAAATTCAATGAAAAGAAAAATTGAATTGAATGTTAGTCTCGGGGGCTCTTCTAATGCAGTGGCAGTATCCCTACCTCTGGACCAGGAGGCTTGGGTTCATGTCCATCTGCCACAGAAGTGTGTAATAGCATCACTGTATTTATGAAGTTAGTCTCAGTAATGAGAACCATGAATCCACTGTCCTACCTAGTTCATTAATATCCTTTCAGGAAGGAAATCTGCCATCCTTACCTGGTCTGGCCTACATGTGACTCCAGACCCACAGCAACGTGGGTGTCTCTCAAATGCCCTCTGAAATGGCCTGCCAAGGCACTCAGACTGAAGCAAAATGGGTAATAAATGCTGGCCTTGCCAGTCATGCCTTCACCCCGTGAAAGATGAAAAGCCTTTTCTGAAGACTCTACTTAAAAAATGAGACACTTTTTTTTAAAACAAGAAAAATATGATTCGCAAAAGAAGCAAATGTGATGCGAAGAGAAAACATTGCAACAGCACAGGGTTTGCAAAGTCTGGAAGAACATCAGAGACAGGTCTAATTGAGGCATTCATGGGGCATTATTTCTGCTTAAATAATCACTCAATGTGCAAGGGAATCGGAAAAGGCAGGAAAGCAGCACTAAGTCGTGACTTAGTTCTGTGGAGAGATGGTGCATACATGGTCAGCTGAATGGGCTCCTGCAGTACCATAGCACTTCGTGATTTCAACTTTTCAGAACTTCCGACAAGTCCTACCAAAGCAAAGCCTCAACCCTAATGTTGCAAATATCTAGCTCCATGTCAACATCTAGATTATGGAGATATTTCAACAATACTGGGGAGGCGATGGCCCAGTGGTATTATCACTGGACTGTTAGTCCAGAGACCCAGGTAATGTTCTGGGGACCTGGGTTCGAATCCCGCCACAGCAGATGGTGGAATTTGAATTCAATAAAATATCTGGAATTAAGAATCTAACGACGACCATGAATCCATTGTCGGAAAAACCCACCTGGTTCACTAATGCCCTTTAGGGAAGGAAACTGCCATCCTTACCTGGTCTGGCCCACATGAGACCCAAAGCAATGTGGTTGACTCTTAACTGCCCTCTGGGTAATTAGGATGGGCAATAAATGCTGCCTAGCCAGCGACGCCCTCATCCCGTGAATGAATAAAAATAACTTTGAATAAAAGACAACCTTTGCCACCAGAAAACACACCAATGTACTTCACTCAGGAACATAAGTGGGGCAGAACATGAAACCAAAATCACATGGAGATATCAGATCAGGCCAAAAGGCTTCTTCAGGACTGTGTGATTCTGTGAGACCTGGAGCTTTGTCAGAAGGATAGGTTTTATTGTGGATGGGGAGATGAGGATGGAGGTTGGAGGTTGGAGGTTGGAGGTTGGAGGGGAAGTTCCAAAAAAAAAAAAAATTGTAGCGATAGAATGCAAGAGATATGCATGGAAGGATTTGAAAATAAGGATGGGAATTATGAAATCCAGGCCCATTTGGACAGTGAGTGAATAAACATGAGCAAATATTGGGGTGAATAAGAATTGCCACACATTAAGACTGAAGGTTGGATAAGCAGAAGTTTAAGGAAGGTGGAAATTGGCCAGGAGAGGGTGTTCGAATAGTCAAGAATAAAGAAAATTACAGCACAGGAACAGGCCCTTCAGCCCTCCAAGCCTGCGCCGATCCAGATCCTCTATCGAAACCTGTCACCTATTTTCCAAGGATCTGTATCCCTCTGCTCCCTGCCCATTCATATATCTGTCTAGATACATCTTAAAATGACGCTATCATACCCACCTCTACCACCTCCACTGGCAACGCATTCCAGGCACCCACCACCCTCTGCGTAAAGAACTTTCTACACATATCTCCCTTAAACTTTTCCCCTCTCACGTTGAAATCGTGACCCGTTAACCGAGTCCCCCACTCTGGGAAAAAGCTTCTTGCTATCCACCCTGTCTATACCCCTCATGATTTTGTAGACCTCAATCGGGTCCCCCCTCAACCTCCGTCTTTCTAATGTAAATAATCCTAATCTACTCAACCTCTCTTCATAGCTAGCGCCCTCCATACCAGGCAACATCCTGGTGAACCTCCTCTGCATCCTCTCCAAACCACATCCTTTTGGTAATGTGGTGACCAGAACTGTACAGAGTATTCAGAATGTGGTTGAAACAAAAGCCCTATACAACTGTAACATGACCTGCCAACTCTTGTACTCAATACCCCGTCTGATGAATGAAAGCATGCCGTATGACTTCTTGACCACTCTATCTGCCTGCGTTGCCACCTTCAGGGTACAATAGACCTGAACACCCAGAACTCTGTGCATCAATTTTCCCCAGGGCTTTTCCATTTACCGTATATCGTATAGTTCGCTCTTGAAGTCAGGTCCACGAGACTCTGCTCAGGTTCAACAACACAGTTCACTGGACAAATCTCAGATCGTTGGGGTGCACCCTCTATCAGGCTTGCCAGCAAACGTGCAGCGTGAACTCACCTTCTTATGAGCTGCGGTGATGTACTGAGCCCATTTCTCCACTGTTTTAGAGGTGGTGATCTCCCGATCCGGAATGTAAGATGGGATTAAGCTCACGAGTCTCTCCAGGATGATCTCAGATCCATAATCCACATAGTACTGCTGGGATGCCAGCTCAGCCAGGTCCTCCTCCTATTGCAGCCAGGATGAGAGAGAGACACACAGTCAGTAGGTGTTCACTAACTGAAAAAGTGTATAACAAAATGGCAAACCAGAACAATGCTCGGGATGTTACATTTATTTTTTTAATGGTTAAGCTCTAACATCACGGAGAGGGGCTGTATTAATGACCCAAGTCTAGGTCCCTGAGAAAAGGTGGTGGTGAGTTACCTTTAATATCTGGTGCAGTCCATATGGTGGGAGGTACCCATTCAGGGATGAGGGGTTCGGAACAAAAATTGCTCGATACCTGCACTGAGGAGTGGGGAAGGAATATTATCTGGTCCATTTTCTTTATTCACTCATGGGACACTGGCATCAGTGGGCAGAAAGTAAATGCTGTCCCAGCCAACACAGGGGAAAATTACTGCAAGTGCTGGAATCTGTACTGAAAACAAAGATCAATTGCTGGAAATCACAGTGGGTCAGGCAGCATCCTTGGAGCGAGAGAGCGCTAACGTTGAGTCTAGATGACTGAGTCAACGCTAGCTTGCTCCCTCTCCACAGATGCTGCCCGACCCGCTGGGATTTCCAGCGATTTTCAGTTTATCTGTCTGCTGTACCCAAAATGCCATGGGTGGGGTAGAATATCCAAATTTTTGACCCAGCAACCAAGATCCTAGCCTCTGACCTGCTCTGGTGTTTATATGACCAATCCAGTTCAGTTTCTGGTCAATGACAACCCTCAAAGTTGATAATGTGCTCGAATTCAGCAGCGGTAATGCCACTGAATGTCAAAGAGCGATGGTTAGATTCTGTCTGATCGGGCATGATCACTGCCTGACATTCATGACAAATGTCACTTGTTACTTTTAAGCCCAAGCCTGGATATTGTCCAGATCTTGTTGCATACGAACACGGACTGCCTCAGTATCTGAGGAGTCACCAGTGGTGCCGAACATTGTGCAGTCATCGAACATCCCCAATTCTGACCTCATGACAGAGGGAGAGTCATTGATGAAGCAGCTGAAGATGGTTGGGCCTACCCTGAGGAACCCTTGCAGAAATATGTCCTGGGAATGGAGACTTCTGCCCTTCAACAACCACAACCATCTTCCTCTGTGCCAGGTATGACCAACCAGCTGGGAGTCTGCCCCCAGATTTCCTACTGTCTCCAGTTTGGCTAGGGACCCCCCCCCACACCGATGCTACACTCTCTATTCGAGCTCAAGGGCATGCTCCGTTAAATATGGAAGTGGAACAGGGGACAGGATTTAATGATGGTGCCCTCTATGCAATTGTTTTGCTTGTTTCCTCCTCAGAATGTGGGTGTTGGTGACACAATTAGCACTAATCGCCCAAATGTGGTCTCCACAACTGACTGACTTGCTATACCACTTGAGGCCAGCAGAGGCAGGCTTGTCCAACAGAAGCTGATGGCTGCAACTGCTAAAAGGAGAAGCGGACTCCATTTTTGATCCTTTTTGTTTCGTTGGGGGAAGGCAGCGACGTGCAGCATGAGCATCACTGGAAGGGCAATTCCAAGATGCCGGCCGGTGGTCCCCAGACATGTTCAAATCCCACCACGGGGAACCTTAACTAATTATAAAATTTTTTTAAAAAAACCTGGATCTCTGGATTTTGTTCGCTCATTTCTGGGAATGTAGAGTAACCCAGTTAAGCCAGCTTTTATATCCCTAATTACGCTCAAGACGGTAGTGGTAAGCTGCCTCCCAGAACTGAATTTCCAAGGGTGGAATTGGGGGCACAGAGTGGGGATGGAGTCCCTGAGGTAAAAAAGGAACCTCCTCCGAGAAAGCAACATCAGTGAGTTGTCGTTAACACCCCATCTAGTTCATTCCAACTTCTCAGAAGGTCGTATCTGCCGTTTCTAACCCCATCTGGGCTACACGTGACTCCAGACCCACAAAATGACATGGCTGGATTCTCAACTGCTCGAGGATATTAGCAATGGTCGAAGAAATGCCTGCCTCGCCAGGGTGACCGCTTCCACCACCCCCCTCACACCCACAAATGGACCTTTTAGAATAAAAGGCTCCCTCTCCACACTGTTTAAGTGAGAACATAACCAAAGACATTCGTATAAACAATATTAAAGCAGAAATTAACTACTCTTCTCCCCTAAGCGTTGGAGGCTTGGCAGATATACTTCTGGACTGGTCTCCAGAGACCACTAGAAAAGGTGACAAGAAACCTCACTAGGGGCGGCTGAGAAATTTAGGTCTGTAATAAAACAAACCCTCAATAATCATTGAATCCCTACAGTGCGGAAGCAGGCCATTCAGCCCATGGAGTCCACACTGACCCTCCAAAGAGGATTGCACCTAGACCCACCCCCTACTCTATCTCTATAGCCCTGCATTTCTCATGGCTAACCCACCGAGCCTGCATATCCCGGGGCACTACGGGGCAATTTAGCATGGCCAATCCACACAACTTGCACATCTTTAGCCTGTGGGAGGAAATCAGATCACCCAGGAGGAAATCCATGCAGACACGGAGAACGTCTGTTGGAGTTTGCACAGTCACCCGAGAGTGGGATTGAACTCGGGTCCCTAGTGCTGAGAGGCAACGGTGCTAACCACTGAGTCATAATGCTGCCCAGCAACAACGTCCCAGCATCTACTGCACTGCAGTTAAAAACCCGTTTGTGTTGACTAACAGGAAATCTGCCATCCCTTCTTGATCTGGTGTACGCGAGTCTCCAGACCCATAGCAAGATGATGCGCTGAACTCCATTCTCAAAGCAACTCAGTCCAAGGGCAATTAGGGACAGGCAATAAATGTTGGCATTGCCAGTAACGCATAAAACAGGAGGAGACGGCACACAGAAACAGGCCATTCGGTCCATCAAGTGCGCCTCGAGGAATACCTGAGTGAAGTCAGGCTCACCTTGTCACACCTGTACTCTCCAAACTTGACCCCTCTCACTGTCTGCTGGTAAATGAGGTTTGTTGCCACCAGGTCCTCAGTAGGATTGTGCCAGGGTGTGAAGATCTCCTTACGGAAGAAGAGGCGCCAGGGTGCGTTGCGTTCTTGCGCACCTTGCTCCTTGGCGTACTGCTCGCACTGGGAGACGGCATCCATCACATAATCATTCCCACTGCCAAGGGAGGAGACCTACAGAGGGGGCAGTTCACGTGTCAGTGAAAGTTTAATTGAACCATCAACACTCCAAAAGGGAACAGATGTTAAGTTTGGCAACAGAACCATCATGCATGGTCTTTCTGCCCAGCAACAAAGAACTTCCGTTTACATTCCAATAGTCCAACCACCATCAGCGTTTATATTTCACCTTTAAGCACAAATGGTTGGAAGGATGATAGTTTTGGTCATCCATACCTTGTCAAACAAAGCAATATATAGAGAAAATCCAAAGCGATCCTTCAGGCCTATCTTGTCAGCCAACGCATTGCACAGCTCTTTGGCTGTTGTCGCGGAGTCTGTCAAGAGAGTCTTTGTTGTTCCATCCATGAAGGTGATGGGCAACATGATCGGCTTCTTTGACTTGGTGGCCTGTTACAAGGAGAAGACAAAGGGCAGATTACAGAATACACCGTTGCAGGAGGTCACTGACACTTTCAAAAAGGGATCTCAGTGCGTGCGAGACGGGAGAAAAGGGGGATAGACAGATTTTCTGATGAGATTTGTTTGGAGTCCATAAACACTAGCAGAGACTATTTGGGCTGGATGGCCTCTTCCTCACAGCACTGTTGGTGTACTGACACCGCTCGGAATGTAAGCCAGTTAGGAAAGCAGCTCATTAACAAAGGGCAGAGATGGGCAATAAGTGATGTCTAGTCAGTAATGCCCTGAACGTAGAAGGGGAGATGCCAATGTTGGACTGGGGTGGGCAAAGTCAAGTCACATGACACCAGGTTATGGTCACTTTACCCAAGAAAGGGAGCAGTAGTTCAATAAGTTTAAGCTTATTGGACTATGACCTGGTGTCATGTGACTTCTGACTCAGCAAAGATATCAATCATCCACAATTAGGAGGTTATATTGTTATTTATCCTTCCTCCAAACCTTAAGGGTCTATTGGTACTGTCTCTCACTCCAGACATAGTATCTGTATGTGGATCTAGCCTGTCTCTCACTTCAAAAAAAGGTCCCGACCCGAAACGTCAGCTTTCCTGCTCCTCTGATGCTGCCTGGCCTGCTGTGTTCATCCAGCTCCACAGTGTTATCCCTGACTCCAGCATCAGCAGTTCTTACTATCTCTCAGTCTACAGTTAGCTGCTTGGGGTCATCAATACTGAAGAGGAGGAACGTTCCAATGCCTCAATAATTTTTGTGAGCTCATTAAAGGATTACTCTAACTAGATTCTTCAAGTAGACACCATTCTATCTCGATGATTCCACCACACAAAATTTGGTGAAAGATTTTTTCATTTCAATGTTTACTAACACCAATGCAATCTCGTAGCAACTGCACGAACCAAGCCAATCCCCACCTAACTATTTAGTCCACACGCTGGGAAGGAGGGAAATCCAGCTGGAAATCAAGGATTGCTTTGTTCAAAACATCCCAGTTTTTCTTCCTGGATGACCATTTTGCAGGAATGCAAACTGTAATCAAAGATTCTTAGTGACTTCAATCTGCCGTTGCTAGAAGTCACTGGAGCGAGAGGCATTTCTGTTCTACCTATCGTCCTGCTTTCTGTACAATTCTGTCCTTTCATAATCCTGCGCTTTTTGCTTTTTTTCCTTAAAAAAAAAACAAACTTAGGGGCAGGTATCCCACAGTCCAAGCTCAGCGTGTTACTTTCAGACAAATTGGTTTGTAAAAAATGACAAAAAAAAAGTAGCTAAACTAAATCCTTCTTTCCTGCCAGAGGTCCTGGCAGCTCTGGCACAAAAATTCTGAGGGCATCATGGACATGCATCTATATACATGTGCCACAATGAAGCAGGATACAGGTGGAGAGCATGCCAGGGATTTTCAATTAAGTACAAGATCACAGTCAAAAATCCAAAAGAACTACGAATGCTGGAAATCAAACAAAACCAGCGATTGCTGGAGGAACTCGGCAGGTCTGGCAGCATCTGTGGTGAGAAGGCAGAATTAATGTTTTGGGTCGAGTGATCCTTCCTCAGAACCTTCCAATGAAGAGTCACTGGATTTGAAACATTAACTGCTTTCTCTCCATGGATGATGCCAGACCTGCTGAGTTTTTTCAGCAAATCACTTTTTTTTAAAAAAAAAACAAGATCAGTGCAATATTTGAACATAATTTCCAACTCGTTAGAGTTGAACATCATGCAATTGTAATTGTCACTGGGGACAGAAAACAAAAACACCTTAATTGCAAAAATAATGAAGCATTATGAAAGTAGAAGTTTAACCTTTGTGTCAGCTTTTTCAATTGATTGATTGATTTGATTTGATTTATTTTCATGTGGACCCAAGTACAGTGAAAAGCCTTGTTTTGTGAGCAGGACAGGCAGATCATAGTAAGCAAGGACATACCAATCAAAGTGCTTAGACACTGAGGCACACAGGATGTGTGAAAGGCAAGATCATTAACACAAGCTCAGTCAAGGACAAAAGAAAGCCCTTTGGCAAACAACACTAAATACAACTTCAAAACAAGTCGCTTCAAAAAAATAAAGTCGTTTAATAAAAGAACATAACCATGGCAAAAAATCAGCAGTGCGCTATATATTGAACGCGAGACCTTCTGGAACAGGTTGACTACCGCAAAGAAAGTCTTACATTAACAGTACGCCTTCAATACTGCTGAAAATCCCAAAATACTTCACAACCATTTCACAGTGCCGATATTACTGTTGTAATATGGAAAGTACAACAGCCAACCTATGCATAGCATGGTCTCACAAATCAACAATGCAAAATGATCATAGATCATGAATCCCTATGGTGTATGGAGTGCACACCAACCCTCTGAACAGCATCCCACCCAGATCCAATCTCCATACCCTATCCCTGTAATCCTGCATTTCCCATCTAGTCTGCACATCCCTGAACACTATGGGCAACTTAGCATGGCCACTCCACCCTACCCTGCACATCTTTGGACTGTGGGAGGAAACCGGAGCACCTGGAGGAAACCCACGCAGACACGGGGAGAAGAATGTGCAAACTCCACACAGACAGTCGGCCAAGGGTGGAATCGAACCCGGGTCCCTGGTGTTGAGAGGCAGCAGTGCTAACCACGGAGCCACCTTTAATCTGACAATCCGCTTCCGGTGATAGGCATTGTGGGTAGATGTTGGGCAATCCTTTGCTGCTCCTCTTAATGAGGCTGTGGGATTCGACAAGTTCAAACCGAGGGGCAGACAGCCTCTTGGTTTAAGGTCTTGGAGATTGTCTCGGAACACTAACCCCCACCATCCACCTCTCCCACCCTGGGCCCCTCCTCCCACCAGATTTTTTTAATTAACATACTAAATATCACATTCCCAGAATGTACCTGGAGTTCCAGCCAGCTGGGAGGCTGTGTCCGGGTCCCATTAGCAAACGTTCTCCTCATTCTTTCCTCACAGTAAGGTGCGTAGCCAGGCGGACCTCCGTGGATAAAATTCCTCAAGTACTGTGGCAAGAGAAAAACGATATTAGCATAGCACTGGCAGGCCATTCAGCCCCTTTAAGCCTGGTCCACCTTTCAATTAGATCATGGCAGATTTCCCTCCCAAGTCTCATTGTCCCAAAGTGGTTCCGTGACTGTCTACTTGCCAACCAAAAATCCACTGTCAACTCATGTAGGAGGCAAATTTTTAAAACAGTGGTTTGTGTGTGATATAAACTTCCACAGGAAGTGGTGGATGGGGTGCAGTTACACAATGTTTAAAAAGACATTTGGATACGTTCATGAACACAAAAAAGTTTGTAGGGGTATGGGCCAACTGCAGGCAGATGGGAATTGTTCAGTTTGGAATTAAGGTAAGCATGGACTGGTTGGACCGAAGGGTCCGTTTCCTTGCTGTACTAATCTAAATCACAAGGGGTCCAGACAAAGTAGACAAGGAAAAACCATTCCTGCTTCCAGCAAGGGTGAGATGACAGAATGAAAGTGATTTGCGAAAGAAGTAAACGTGACGTGACATGAGAAATACTTTTTCGCTCAGCAAGTAGTGAGGGAATGAAATGCACTGCCTGGAAACATGGAGGATGCAGGTTCAACAGTGGTGCTATTTCTGTTTAAATAGCATTCAGGAAAAGAAGGTAAAAAAAGAGGTAGGAGGATGGCACTAAGTCACAATGCCACTTGTACAGTCAGTGCAGACAATGGGCCGTATGGCCTCCTTCTGCACTGTACCAAATTCTGCAGCTCAAAATGCTCATGCTGGATTTTGTCCCCCACCCCCCTCTCTGCAGGTCTGCCAAACACTTCCATGCATGTTCCGTTTTTATTCCAGATTGCCATCATCTGCAACTGAACAACTTCAGTTTTGACATTTTCAATGGATTCCTAGCCTCGACAGCTTTTGTGGGAATCAATTCCAAATTTTCAGTCCCTTTTCTGTCAGGAGTGCAGATTAAATTGATGGTGCAATGTACACCAGCATTCCTCACTGGGACAGGAATCTCAAACTGTCCCCGGTCACATCATCGTTCTCTGCTCCCCCAATAATCCTAAAATCAAAATAAGTCAGTCAGATCAGTTCGATTTCATTAAAGAAAAATAGAATTATTAAAAGAAAGAACTGCATTTATATAGTGCCTTTCTGGATTGTGGACAGCCTAAAGCATTTTACAGTCAATGAAATATTTTTGAAAGTACATTCACTGCCGCAGGGTAGTAAATGAGGCAGTCGATTTGCACAGAGCAACCTCCCACATACAGTAATGTGATCATGACCAGGAAACGTGCTACACAGTGCATTCAATAACCTTTGGACACAAAAACAGAAATTGCTGGAAAAGCTCAGTAGGTCTGGCAACATCCTTAGATAGAAAGCAGAGAGAGTTAACGTTTCTGGTCCAGTGACCCTTCCTCAGGTTGGGAATTTTTTTCATAACTTTTGGACATGGTTTGGGACATTGAAAAAACAGTTTAAACAGAAACAATGGTTACCTCACAATATGACGACAAGTTAATTTTAGGCACAGCAAGCTCCCACTAACAGCAATGCTGTAACAGATTATTTTAGTTTAAGAAAACTAAGAGCACCATCACCTAATAGGTAAAAAGATGTTGCGGTGGGGAGGTGTGGTGTGGAAAGAAGACAGCGTGACAGAAAAAAAAAACAAATGCACATTGGCCAGCACTTCAGGGAGAAGTCTTTTCCTTTAAAGCAGACGCACCTTGGTTTTACATTTCATCCATTTTCAGGTGGATTTCTGTACATTTTCAGCATTTATAAAAGCACACAGTGAGAACTGGAGACTTACCTTGACAAACTTTGCAGAAGGAGCGAAGCAGCCAACACAGAGGGACACGAGGATCCAGCCCCGGGCGTGGCTGCTCTTGGAGGGATTCTGGGTAAGTTGCTTGCAGATCTGGCAGTAAATCTCATCCCTGTCACATAACAAGACTCAAAAATCAATAAATAAGTGGCACAAGACTAAAGCTCCTCGCCGCATCTCTCAGTCATAAGCAGAACGATCCAACAAGTGATGTCATTGTGTCATCTCAAAATAAGATGGCTTAGGAGACAGAGTGGACAGAATTTCCCCCAGTTTTCCCAAGTGTTCGAGGCAACTCTATTGACTGCCAATTGGGCGAGGGAGAGTCAACAGGTAAGGGCCAGTATCACGCCCCGTTAACGTGAATACGTGTGGATTGGAAGGCGGGAAGTTAGAATTTGGTGCTTGTAAAATGCTGAGGGGGGGGGGGGGGAAGCAGTGCGTGGTCCCTTTAAAAGATGATGTGCTTTTTCTATGCTGAGAGATTCAAAACCAAAAAAGGAAGTCTGTGGGCAGCAGCTCGTAGGTTTGCATGCTCACAGAGAGCACATGACTTGTATCAAAAGGCCTTACAGTTCGCAGGCCAAGCAGCAGTTTTGTTTTGTTTTGTTATCAAGACAAGAAGTTTTGAAATTAGCCAATTAATTTGAACCAGGCACCTAGATACCAAAAAATCAATTAAATTTAAATCTGATGGTTTTGACAACATAGGACTTATCCTATTGTAAGAAATATTGATACATCAAGGGTATAAAAGGGGCAGTTGGGCAGGCAGGAGAGCTCACTGCCATCTACTAGAGTTAACAGCTCTCGGCTCTTAAAGAAAGCACCACCTATTCACAATGTTACCACAGCACTCCTAGCTAAGATTCCTAACAGAAGATTTGACGCAGAAGGCACAGGACATTCCAGAAGACACGTCACCTGGCTGTAATTTCGAGAGGCTAAGTTCTATTATGGTTTTATTTTAAATAAAACCCCCACTTGTAGTTATTGGAACAACATAAAAATTAGAAGCTTGTTTTATTCAGGAACAGTTAGTAGTTAGAAGGGGTTTATTTGGTTTGTTAATGACTCAGTTAATTTGTTCACTGTTGGAGTTAGATAAATAAATTGTTACTTGTTGATTGTAAAGTGTCAGGGGTTTATTTTATTTAACCACTAGAAGTTGCTGAAAGTCAGATCACACCACTTTTCACACACTCCTTTTACAGATTATAGGATGAGATGTTCAGCTTTTAATTCGAGCGGGGTGGGGGCTTGGGGTCAGGGTCAGGGTCGGTGGTGGATGGTGTTCCAGCCTCTGCTTTATAACACTACCACAGCTCTCAACCCTGGCCACCGGGTTCTCCAGAAGCTGCTGGATCACAAGGCCACAAAACGTAGCAGCAGAGGTAGACCCTTCAGCCCATTAAATCTCCCCCTCACCATTCAACAAGATTGCGGCTGATCTGATAATCCTCAGCTCCACTTTCCTGCCTTTTCTCCTTAACCCCCAATTCCCTTCCTGATCAAAAGTCTGTTTGTCTCCACCTTGAATATATTAATGGCCATCGGTCAACAGCTCCCTGTGGTAAAGAATTACATAGATTCACTAACCCTTGGATGAAAGGAACTCTTCATCTGTTTTTAAAATGGCTGACTGTTCCTTCTGGGATGATGCCTTCTGGTCTTAGACTCTCCCACAAGGGAGAGTGACCTCTCAGCATCTACCCTGTCAAGCCCTTTAAGAACTTTGTACCTTTCAATAAAGGTGGCCATTCGTTCTAAATGCCACTGACTATAGGCCTAACCTTCTAGATCTCTCCTCATAAAACAGCCCCTCCCTAACAGGATCAATCTAGTGTACCTTCTCTGGGCTGCCTCCATGCCAGCACATCTTCCCTTAGAAATAGGGTCTGAAACTTTTCATTGTACTCAAATATAGGAACAGGAGTAGGCCATTCAGCCCCTCGAACCTGTTCCACCATTCAATGAGATCATGCTGATCTGTGGCCTAACTCTGTATAGCTGCCTTTGGCCCATATCCCTTAATACCCTTGACTTAACAAAACGCTATCACAAATTTAAAATTGACAACTGATCCAGCATCTACTGCTGTTTGTGGGACAGAGTTCCAAACCTCTCCCACCCTTTTTGTGTAGAAGTGCTTCTTAACAAGTCTCCTGAAAGCTCTGGCCCCAATTCTCACACTATGCCCCTAGTTTTAGAATCCCCAACCAGCGGAAATAGTTCATCTTGATCTATCCTGTTAATATCTTGAAGACTTTGATCAAATCACCCCTTAACTTTTCTAAGTTCTGGAGAAAAACAGACATAATTTGTATAATCTCTCCTCATGTCTTAACCTCAAGTTCAGGCATCAGTCTTGTAAACCGACATTGTATTTCATCCATGACCACTATATCCTTCGTAAATCTGGTGGCCAGATCTGCTCTCAGTACCAGAACACTATTCCAGCTTTGATCTAACTAGTGCCTTGCATAATTTGAGCAAGAACACTCCTTTTAATACTCCATTCCCTTTCAAAAAAAAGGCCAAAACTCCACTTGCCTTCCCTATTACCTGCTGACCTTGCATGCTAACCTTTGCATGATTTAGGCACAACAACTCCCAAATCCCATTGTGTTGCAGCTTTCTGCAGAATTTCCCATGAGACATTGAATATTGAACAGGTTTGATGGGCTGAAAGAAGCAGAAGTTAGCCAATCAGATCATGGCTGCCTGACAATCTCCTCATTGGCACTTCCACACTCCATCTCCACATCCCTGGATGTCATTAGTTTTCAGAAATTTGTTGCTCTGTCTTGAATTTACTCAATGATTGAGCTCTCACTTCAAAAAAGGTAGGAGGATTCCAAAGGTTCTCCACCCTCGGAGTGAAGAGATTCATCCGAGTCTTAAATGGTCAACACCTTATCCTGACATTCTATCCCCTGGCTCTAGTCTCACCAACCAGGAGAAACATCTCATCTATATCCCCCTGCCCCCACCCCCTCAAAACTGTTGCAGGTTTCAATGAAATCACCTTTCATTCTGCAAAACTCTGGGAATGCAGACCTGATTTCTTCAGGCTTTCCTCATCTAACATCCCACCTCTCCAGTGATTAATCTAGTGACCCTCCAGTGCATTCCCTCAATGGCAAGTATATCCTTCCTTCTGTAAGGAGATCAAGACTGTACACAATATTCAGGAACATCACACCAAGGCTCAGTACAACTGCAGCATGGCTTTGGATCCCAATCTAACATACCATTAAGACTATAGAGGAACAAGAGTAGACCTCTCAGCCCCTTCAGCCTGCTCCACCATTCAATAGGGTTATGGCTGATCCGACTTTTCTCACATCCACTTTCCTCTCTTTTCCCCATAATTCTTGATTCCCTTAATAGTTTGCTGCACCTCCATGCTGGCTTTCAGAGGCTGATAAACAAGGACACCAAGGTCCCTTTGGAAAACTCACATTGCTTAAAACGATGAGAGGTTAAGGAACGTTCCACTTTTCTGTCTATTTTTCCGACAGCAGCCAATAACTTCATACTTATTCACATTATATTCCAGCTGTCATATTCTAGCACAGTCGCTGAACGTGTCCAAGTTTTCAGGAAGCATCTTTGCACTCTCCTAAACTTGGGCTCCAACTCACTTGGTATCAACAACAAATCTGGAAATGTTACAAGAAGTGACCCCCATGTGCAATTCATTGATTGAAAGAGTGAGTCCATTTGTGGCCCTAGCACTGGCCCCCACTAGTTACTGTCCGTCATCTGCAGAATGATTCTGAAACTGTTTATTCTTACTTTCTCTTCTGTCTGTTGACAAATTCATTACCCATACTAGTCAATTCCTCCCAGTCCCATGCACTCAGATTTTGTTTACTAATCACGTCTTGCGATCTTACTTTTAAAAAAAAATCTGAAAAGTGCAAGTACACCACATCCGTCAGTTCTCCTTTATCTACACAAGTAACGTTCCGAGAAAGCACCAACATTTTTGTCAAACGTAATATAGCTTTCACAAAACTGTTGTTCAATCTTATCACTACTTTCCAACCACCCAGTTATCATGTCCTTTGAACTAGGTTCTAACATTCTGTCTTTCATGGAGAGGCATCAAACTAACAGCTGTTTAGTTCGCCACTCTTTCCCTTTCTTCAATCTTGCAATCATAGAAACCCTACAACGTGGAAGCAGGCCATTCGGCCCATCGTGTTTCCACCAACCCTTGGAAGAGCAACCCACCCAAACCCATCCCCACTATCCTATCCAGGTCATCCTGCATTTCCCATGGCTAATCCACCTAGGATGCATCTCCCTGCAAACCATGGCCAACTTAGCATGGCCAGTCCACTAAACACAAACAGCTTTGGACTGTGGGAGGAAACTGGAGCACCTGGAGGAAACCCACGCAGACAGTCGCCCAAGGGGGGAAATTGAACCCGAGTCCCTGGCACTTTGAGGCAGCAATGCTAAACACTGAGCTACTGTGCCGCCCAGATAGCAGGGGGTTATATATTTATTAACTTTCCAGTTTTCAGAGATCATTCTAGAATCAATAGAATATTGAAAGGTAGTTACATGGTCTAACCTTCTTCAATTCCATTCAGCTCCCTGGCGAGGAACAGCAGTGAGGAAGACAGGAACGAAAAAGAAAAAGGGTGCGAAAGGGATCAGTACCTGACCTCTGGCCGGAGGATGCCATTCCCAATGATGAAGTGGAGCTTCTCCAGGTTAGAGGTCGGCCTGTCCTCCAACATACTGTTCCCCCGGAGAGTGTAATCCCCATCGTTCAATCTCTTTGCCACCTGATGGGAGTCAGAGGAGCAGCCAAAGTATCAAGAGGAAGATGCACAGAGGACAACTTGCATTTACATGGCGCCGTTAAAGCAGCGAAATAATGACAGACATTTCCACAGGAGATTTAGCAAACAAAATCTGACGTGGTGCACCGGTGAGGAGGACCAATGCTTAGCCAAACAGGTAGGCTTTTGCAGGAGGGATTGAAACAAGGAGACGGTGATGGAATGAATTAGAAAAGAAAAGGGGCCTTGGAGTTTTGAGCCAAAAAGTAACTGGACATCCATACAGGCTGAAGATAGTCAGGGTCAGAGGAGTGCGGAGATTGAGGACGGCTAAAGGGCTGAGGGAGATGAACTGCAGGGAAGCAGGTGAGGCTACAAAAAGGATTAAAATCTTCGCATTTGAACTGTTACCGTACTGGAAGCCAACATTGGTCAGCGAGCACAGGGGCGATGTGTGGGCAGGACTTGGCACGGTTGAAGGTACAGCCTGATTTTTCACAAAGATAGAATCGAACGGAGGATAGATCAGTGAAGAGACTCGGGTCACTGAATTCGTTTTGATGTGCTCAAATGGATCCTGGTCTCATGTGCGTGGGGAGGGGAGGGAGGAAGGGTGGTGGAGGGTGGAACAGGAAAGTCCTCTCAAATATTACCTCCTCCGTTAGCTTCGATTTCTTCTTCAGAGTCAGGGAAACCAGCTTGTGCCGCACACAGCTGTTCTTGTCAGAATATGCACTCTGCAACACACAAATGTCAAGGTGTTAATGGAGGGCGTACCAACAAAAATCAGCACAACATACATCATCAAGATATATTAGGAACGCTTCCCGATTTCATCATCCCTGTTACCAGCAAACATCTTTACCCAGAGGATCATTACAGTCATACAACAGGGAAACAGACCCTTCGGTCCAACTCACCCATACCGACCAGTCCCATTTGTCTGTGTTTGGCCCATAACCCCAAATCTTTCCTATCCATGTCCAAATGTCTTTCACTTGTTGTAAACTGCACCAACCTCCACTACTTCCTCTGCCAGTTCATTCCATACACGCACCACCCTCTGTGCGAAAAAGTTGGCCCTCAGATCCCTTTTAAATCTTTCCCCATTCACTTTAAGCCTACGCCCTCCCCTATTGTAGGGGGAGGAGGGTCTCAACTATTCACCTTCTTTATGCCCCTCGTGATTTATAAACCTCTATGCTATCCCCCCCCCCCCCACCCCGACCCTCTTGCGCCCCAGTGAGGGAAAGTGCCAGGCTATAATGAGGAACTCATCGCCACAAGCAGCAAACTGGGAAGGAAATCTAGATAAAACACATGGGGAAAGAAGAACAGATAATAATATATTCTTGGCAGACGAGTTTGGTAGAACAGCTCACCATCAAGCAGCCTACCTCGCCCTCTCCCTGAAGAGCCTGCAGCTCCCGTTTATATGTTTTCTTGCCGAGGGTTTCGTAGATTTTGGTCATGACCGGAATCTTCTCACTGCCATCGCTCATGGCTGTGTGATACTTGGGCTCCGGCAAATCCCCCATGAACCTCAATATCGTGATCCAGACAGCAAGAGATGCCTGCAAACCAGAGAGGTGCGCAAAAGAGGAGAAGAAAAAAAAGGAAGGAAGGAAAAAAGAAGAAAAAGGTGTTCAGGTTTGTACGTGCAAACGTGCTCCGAGCAACTTAGTGCTCTGCAGCCAACGCAACAAGACGATAAAACACCACTGGCTATCTCTCAGAGCACAGCAAGCTCTCAGACTGGTGTTTGGCAACGACTGGATGGTCCAAAAAGTTTACGATGCCAACCAAGGGGACAACATGAAGAATGTCACTGTTTTATCCCAGAACATCACATCATTTCACAGAAGATAACATTTGGCCCATCACACTGGTGCCAGCCCCACAGGACAGCTATCAAATTCTTCCTTCTCCTCTGCACCCTTTCGGGTGTACAGTAAACTGTTTTAGACTGGCACCTTACGAGCTCTCAATAAACTGGCAAAAATTACGTACCTCAAAATACCACAAAGTTTAGTGTTATTCTGTCCAATTATTGTAGTTTAAAAATTTATTTACCACAATGTAAATACACTTGAACTGATTGGCCGCAGGAAATGTCAACAGTTGATTCAATTTTGAGTCAATTTCTCCTCAAATACCACAATGTCAGAGTAGTCAGTTGAGGTGGTGAGTGAGGCGGCTTTCTGGGCTGTTATTGCAATTTTGCCTTAAATAAACATTAAAATTATTTCTGCTGTAATAAATAAAGTACAACAGTGACGTGTATACCACCTGCATCAAGTTTTTATTACTTAGTGTGTTTTCATATTGATTATATGGCCCTCTTCATAACATGAAATATTTGTTGGTCCAGGCTGGCCTGCTGTGTTCATCCAGCTCTGCACCTTGTTGTCTCGGATTCTCCAGCATCTGCAGTTCCTACTATCTCTGATTCTATTGCTGTATAGTCCATTGCCTTTTGAAGATTACTAACAAATCTACTTTAGCATTGAGCCTTTTGGAACACGAGCACTCAAGATTTAACAAAATAACCTGTCTTTCATTAATCTTAAGATGTCTAGTGCCATAGGATTTCGGATGGGCACCCAAAAAGACGTGACTTTTTCAAACATAGTTATTTGAAGCCAGTTTTATTTCACCCTTAAGGCTGACGGGTGGAAAGCTGACATTTCCACTCAAAAGAAAACAAGTAATTCCAACGATAAATAATCCGAGCACAGAAAAACATCAGAGAAACTCAGTAGGCCTGGTGGCGTCTCTAACAGAGGAGCTCTACCAGGCTCTTAACATTTAGTCTTTCTCTCGCCACTTATGCTGCCAGACCTGCTGAGTTTCTGCAGCGCTCATTTCAGATTCCCAGCGTCCGCAGTATTTTGATTTTAGGCAAATGATCCATCTCTTCCTCTGGGTCTTACTTACGAGTTGGTCCCCTTCGTCGTCATGGTAAAGCAGGGGCAACTTGAGGGGCCTGCGGATGTAGGTGTGCGTGGTGGTGCCCTGGAAGTAGGTGGCAGCAAACTTGGCAAATTTGTACTCAGAAAGATCTTCCTCTTCCTCCTCTGGGAGTGGCAGGCTGGCATCCAGATCCTCTTCCTCCAACTCCGGCGGGGCACGTTCCAGGTCCTGGATCCAAAACAAGAATATTATTAAGTTAATCCCCATCAACAACAGCATGTTAAAAAAAAACTATTGTTGGAGAAGTTAAATGTGCGATTTGAAATAATCAAAGTTCTACATGTTCAGCACACTTTAATTTAGTGCAGAAACATAATTGCATCAATCATAGTACATAGTGATACTCTGCTCAATCTACAAGACGCACTGCAGAAATTCAAAGATCCTGAGACAGCACCTTCCAAACCCACGACCACTTCCATCTAGAAGGTCAAGGGCAGCAGATACATGGGAACACCACCCCCCGCAAGGTCCCCCACCCAGACTTGGAAATATATCACTGTTCCTTCACTGTCACTGGGTCAAAATCTTGGGATTCCCTCCCTAACGGCATTGTGGGTTGCAGCGGTTCAATAAGGCAGATCACCCCCACCTTCTCGAGGGACAACTAGGGATGGGCAAGAAACGCTGGCTCAGCCAGTGATGCCCGCATCCCACAAAATAAATAAAACAAAAATCCGAACAGAACAGAGAGACTGGAGATAGCGAGAACTGTGGATGCTGGAGTCAGAGTCTAACTCAGTGTCGAGCTGGAGGAACACAGCAGGTCAGGCAGTAGAGTAGGAAAGTTAACATTTTGGGTCAGGACCCTTCTTTAGATGCTGCCTGAACTGCTGTGTTCCTCCAACTCTACGCTGTGTTAGAGAATGGGACACTGGAGAGATGGGATTATGAGGAGTAATTGGGTATATTCCCACAGAAACCAAAAAAAGGAGTGAGTAAACCATTTTTTTGGGATCCAAAAAGAAATGGGATATTCTAAACTGGAAGCAGTTTTTGACCTTAAAGATTAGGAGCAGAAGTAGGCCATTCAGCCCATCAGGTCTGCTCTGCTAATGAGATTGTGACTGATCTGATCATCCTTAAGTCCACCTTCCTACTTTCTCAGCCCGGTTTCGTTCAAAACAATCTCAGGATAGAATTAAAAACAGAAAGTGCTGGAGAAGCTCAACGGGTCTGGGAGCAATTGTGGAGACACACGCGCACAGTTGACATTTGGGGTCCAGTGACTCAAGAATATTTGAAGAAGAGTCACACCAGGCTCCAAACTATTTCTCTCTCCGCAGATGCTGGCAGGCCTGTTGAAATTCTCCAGCACTTGGTTTTTGTTCCAGATTTCCAGCACCTGCAGTTCTGTTTTATTTTAAAATCAGGACAGATCCTGCGTCTAACAGAGGGGAAATTCAAAACTAATCTGCAGAAACCATGACCTGCACTTTACTGGAAAGAGTTCTGTCAGGTCGCAATACAGACAGATCCTGTGGCGCCAGCACCCTGATGGGAGGCTATCTGGTGGCAGCCAGGGGGACTGGTCAGGGATAGCAGAAGAGCCTCCCACGTTGATGGGCCAGAGTGCCAGCAACTTTGTACCACTGGTCCCTCTGCTGGGCAACGCTGAGGCTGCACAACAGAATGCAGGTTCAACATCCCAGTAAAGTGACCATCGATTGGCCTCTTCATTGGTTGTTGTTGCTATGGCAATGAGCGCCTCTGCGACATATAGATTCCAGGTTGCCCTCCATCACTACTTTCCTTCAATGGGCTGATAAAATTCTGCCGAAGGTTTGTCTAAGCGAGTGGCCAACTTTTGGAACATCCTTCCTTAATAAAGCAAGGGAAGCAGAAGGTGCCAATTAATACAAGTTAGATTGATCCATTCCAAAAGAATCAAATCACTTGGTAACAGAACGCGGACACTGCTGAAACTTTTCATCTTGTGTTTCAGGATACGTGCAAGAATGCCAAAATTCAAACAAACAATCACAACTATTTATACTGCAGGAGAAAAAAGGGACGATTGGTTGGCCGAGGAGTTGCTACATAGTTCCCCATTGTTTTCTGCACAGGGCATTGGCTGCGCCAGAGCCAATTTAACACCAAATCAACACCCTTGCATTCTGCATTGTAAATTGTTGTGAGCATTTGAAACTTAGCATTTTCGTGTTTGTCCTGACAATTTAAGAGAAGCCAAATCAGAATAATTTGGTAAAGAGGAAGGTTGCCTAGGCAGGAAGAGTGTAAAATCTTACAAAATGGCTCCTAAAAGCTCACTAATTGTGAACATTCTTATGCCATTTCTGGTTTGCACTGAATTTGAATTATTGCAATTTACTGCAAAGCTTGGTCAACAGTTCCATTGTGATAACTGGCAATAGTACAAAGTGATAACAGCATCTGAAGTTCTTACTATCATGGTACAAAGCGAAGTTGATGGAGACACACAGCAGACTAGCAATTCCCATGTCTTCGATCTGCCACTAGATGGATTCATTGACACTGGTTTAGTAGTCGTTAGGGAAACCAGAAGTAAAGGAATCTACTTTAGTACCTCAAACCCAGATGGCGCTTGTCCCTCCTGTCCAGGCAATGGAGTGGGGCTGCCCAAAAAACCAAACATTTTATCCACCATCTCAGAGTCGTTCACAGGCTCGTTGCGGGCCCTCTCCATTTGCTCCACCATTTCCTTCTTCCGACGGGCCTCCCTCCGTTCGTTCATCTCCCTCTCGGCATCTTCCCGAGCCAATTGGGCGAGGCGCTCCTGCGGCAAAAGGAGAACAGAAAAAAAAAAAGTTGTCAGCTAAACTCGCCAGCGGCCACCGAGGAGAAGGGGTGAGGGTCGCCCACGTTGGTGAAATGTGGCCACACTTGGTTCAACTGGCCAAACCAATTCAATTCTGGATATAACAGACGACGAACAATAACCATTACAGCAGTCCTTTATTCTTTTATGGGACGTGGGCATTGCTGGAAAGACCAGTATTGGTTGCCCATCCCCAAGTGCCCATGGACTGGGTGCCCATGTCAGAGAGCAGTTAGGAGTCAACACCATTGTTGGGATCTGGAGTTACATGTAGGCCAGACCAGGTAGGTACGGTAAACGTCCTTCCCGAAAGGAAGAAAAAAAGTCATGAAGCAGATGGATTCGTACAACTAACTGATAGTTGGTACGATCACCATCTCAGAGGCTAGCTTTGCGAGTCCAGATTCATTTCACAAAAATCAATTTCCACCAGTTGCAAATTGGATTTGAACTCGTGTCCTAAGTCCTTAGCATGGGTCTCTGGATCGCAAGTCTAGTGACAGTAATGTCTCCGTCCTCTGAAAGACAGGACGCAAAAAAAACAAAAACACATACACAGAAAATAGAAAGAGTAGGCCATTTGGCCCTTTAAGCCAGTTCTGGCATTAGCTCGTCTGTAACATGATCATGGCTGATCCTCAGTCTCATTGCCACAGTCCTCCTCTCCCCCCCCAGACACATGGACAGTGCTAATGCCTGTAAAATATTTATTTCTTAAATATATTTAGTGGCTAATTGCTATGGGTCTGGAATCACAGAGGGTCAAATTAGGTAAGAACAACAGATTTGCTTCCCTAAAAAAAAAAAAGGACACAAGAACCCATCTGGGTCACTAATGATGATCAATGGCAGCTGATATTGGCTTTTTATTCCAGTTGAACGTAGATTGTACTGATGTGGTGGTTTTCGACCCATGCACATGTCTGGGCCTCTGGATGACATCCCTCAGACTGACACAGGTTACAAGGAGGTACAGGCTGGAGGACACAGATGAGAATCTTAAAAATGGCAAAGCGTTGGACCAGAAGCTAAACGTAGGTCAGTGGAGGTGTGACGGAGGAAACAGGGCTCAAGAGGGTGCACGAGGGTATGGACTTGAGGATCTGCAAATTTAGAAGGGGAAAAAGATTAAGGTTGGAAAAGAGGACATCATTAGAACAGTCAAATCAGAGGGAGAAGTATTGGGGTGGGGGGGGGAAAAAAAAAAGTTTCAGCAATAGATGGGCTGTGGCAGGGACAGAGACTGGTAACATCAGAAATATTACAGGTACATGAATAGGAAGGGGCTTAGAGGGATGTGGGCCAAATGGGACTAGATTAAATTAAAGATATCTGGTCCAACTCATCTAGGGTGAACAAAGGGTCTGTTTCAGTGCTGTATAATTCTATGACTTGTCAAAGCTCCTTAGAGATAGTAAATTCCAAACCTGGGACCAGAGTCATCTAGAAGGGCAGCAGATACATGGGAATGCCATCAGCTAGGCGTTCCCCTCTGAACCACTCACCATCCTGGCTTGGAAATAGATTGCCGTTCCTTCAGCGTTGCTGGGTCAGAACCATCGAATTCCCTCCCATTGTGGGTGCTCCTACACTCCAAACATGAGCAGCACAGCTCTCCACCAGCTGCTCGAAGGCAATAAATGCTGCTCCAGCTAGCAACACCCACATCCCTCAAACAATTTGCAGAGGGAGATCCCGACATTGACCGTTAAGAACGGTCAGAGTCCCAGATGCCACTGGAGGTTCCACAGTCACTCACGTAAAATGGAGAACAAAAGTCATTCAAGCGACTCACCTGATGTTTCCTCTCCGCCTCCTCCTTGGCTTTTTTGCTGCTCATCTCCTTGCAAAGTCGCACCTCCTCAGCTAGGCGCAGCTTCTCTGCTTCCAGCCTTCGGTGGTACTGGTGTGTGAGGTAAAGGAGGATCACAAAAAGGAACAATTTTAGAGGTTTCAGTTACAGCTAGATCTTTGAACCTGCATTGTCGAGTGAGCCAATGATATTTCTACAGTAGCTCATTGAATTGAGAAAAGATCTGCATTTACGTATCGCTTTTTAATAACCTCAGGCCCCTACTGTGTCTGACTTGGGTACCTGCACATTGGAGGGCTGACCAATTTACTTCTCAAACAAGTGGCGGGTGACTTAGTTGCAAAGACCAAACAACAACAGGCAGCCAAATAGATTGGTTCGAGGCAGAGGTGGGGCAGCACGGTGGCACAGTGGTTAGCACCGCTGCCTCACAGCACCGGGGACCCAGGTTCGATTCCAGCCTCGGGTGACTGTCTGTGTGGAGTTTGCACATTCTCCTTGTGTCTGCGTGAGTTTCCTCCGGGTGCTCCGGTTTCCCCTCTCAGTCCAAAGATGTGCAGGCTAGGTGGATTGGTCATGCTAAATTGCCCGTAGTGTTCAGGGAGGTGTAGATTAGATGGGTTATAGGGGGATGGGTCTGGGTGGGATGCTGAGAGGTTCGGTGTGGACTTGTTGGGCCGAAGGGCTCATTTCCACACTGTAGGGATTCTATGAAGTGCAATGAGTTGTGAGAAAAGGAACAGTGAAAAAGAGCTCTGACCCTAAATCAGAGCACAGCAGGTGGACAAATTCACGAATAGGAAGGGGATAGAGGGATACAGATCCTGCAAGTGAAGACGGTCTCAGTACGGAAGGGCAAAATGTGTTGGCGCAGGCTTGGAGAGCCAAAGGGCCTAGTCCTGTGCTGTACTGTTCTTTGTATTTGGCCCATTGAGTCACCCTCCCTTGCCCTTTTGTCAAAGCCCTGGAAACAGTTTATCAAGTATGAGCCTAATTTCCATTTGGGAATTTGCGTTTGGTTTTACCTCGAGTTGTGTGTCGATGTATTCCAGACATTAGGTCTTGAATACCTGGAGCTACTGGGATAATCCTGGAGCTTTCGCAATCCTGAGTCAGGATGGTAGTGTTTCAACACCCATTACAAGGGAGACTTTGTGCACTTGATGAAGCTGTTCTAGGCATCCGAGACATTGACTGAATGGCCTCCTCATTCAATGATTCTATCACATACTGTGTCATTGAAAGGGCTGTGTAATTAATCTCTGCTCTTTCCCATGGACCTACATTGGTTTCTTTTTCAAATGTACATTGAATTTCCATTTGATAGCTAACAACCTACGAGGACAGCACATTCCCAGTCATAACTGTTTTATAAAGACTTCTTATAAATGCTGTTTCCGGCCGCTTTTTAAAAATTTATTCACAGGATGTGGTGGTCACTGGCCAGGCAGCGTTTATTGCCCATCCCTAATTGCCCAGAGGGCAGTTCAGAGTCAACCACATTGCTTTGGGTCTGGAGTCACATGTAGGCCAGACCAGGTAAGGATGGCAGTTTCCTTCCCTAAAAGGGCTTTAGTGAACCAGATGGAGTTTTCCCAACAGTTGACAATGAATTCGTGGTCATTATTAGACTTTTAAAGCCAGATTTTTTTTTTTTTTTTTTAAAAAAAGATTGAATTCAAATCCCACCATTTGCCATGGTGGGATTTGAACCTGATCCCTGGAACATTCCCTGGGTCTCTGGGATTAATACCACTGGGCTGCCACCTGCCCGCTCGGGCAGCTAACGGTCAGTTCATATGGCTGGATGGCTTATTTTGCGATGCAGAGCAATGCTAACAGCATGGGTTCAATACCTGCACAGGCTGAGGTTACCATGAAAGACTCAGCCCAATCTCTCCCCACCATCTGAGGTGTGGTGACCCTCAGGTTAAGCCCCTACTAATTCTCTCTCACACTCAAAGAGAGAGCAGCCTTGAGGATTGGCTGGGCTTTGGCGACTTGACTTTTAAAGTTAAGGTAGTCTCAGCTTCCAAGTATTGGGCACATCCTCCCTCCGGCCTTTGGAGGGAAAGGCACTTACTTCTCCTCTCAGCCGCTTGTAGAGCCTACGTGCGATCATGCCTCGAACACAAGCTTGGATGGTAATGACAGCCCAGAAGCAGTGGCGGAATGCTCTCCGCACCAAGTAACCGCGGCAACGGGCCTGGAACAGGATGATTCTCTTGCGAGCAAAGTGATACTGTGTGCAGAGCTTACGGGACCGATAGAGCGCCTGGAGTCTGGAGAATCCAATTCGCATCTAAAACAAGATAGATGAAGGAAGTATTGGAGGGGATGATGAAGAAGCAGAAACAATGCAGTGCAGACTCAAGACTATGTTGTTCGTGCAGCAAAACTGCAAGCACAATAGTGGAAATAGGAGGAGACTCCATGACCAACACACCACCTTCACACCTCTCCATACAATCATCATTGATCTGCCAGCTCAAGCTTCTTTTCCTCTTAAATACAGCGATCACTCAAAAGGTCAAAAACAACAACATCCTTTACAATTTATTAGCCCAGACAGACCTGCTCCCCATTAATTTGTCACCACTTTCTCCTGTTTAATAGATCATCCAAGTGACTCCAAAGGGGAAGTCTGGGTGAGCCTTACAAATCTCAACTCTATTTTGATTTGATTTATTGTTGGCAGATGTACAGAGATACCGTGGGAAAAAAAAAGTGTTGTTTTGTGTGGTCTACAGGCAGATCACACCATACAAACTGCATCAGGGTAATAGGGCCAGACACACACACAGACACACACACAGACAATAAAGGGAAGAAAAAAAAAATCAACATTAACATTTGAGGGGTCTGCGCAAAAGTCTGATAACAGTAATGGAACTGATCATTCGGCAGGTTCTTTGGAGATTCGAACCTCAACATCTCTAAGGCAGGCAGCAGACACATCAGAGTACTGCTGCCTGCAAATAACGTACCCTCCTGGCTTAGGAATTACGAGCTCTGTTCCTTCACTGTCACTGGATCAAAATCCTGGAATTCCCTCCCTAACATGGCCACACCACACAAGACTGCAGCAATTGATGACAATAGCTCACCATCGCCCTCAAGGCAAATTAGGGAAGGGCAAGCCAACGTCAGTTTTGCCAACAACATACACAAACAATTTTTGTAAAAAAAAAGTACCAAGAAAATGAATAGTTGACTTACTGCGCTGAAATTTTTCCGGCACTGATATCCACGCCAATGCTTCTGAATCAACATCACTGATTTTCTTATTTTTACAAAGTTTGACCTGTGGAAGATATTGAAGTTTTTAAAAATCTCGCTTGGAACATGTTGGAGACCCACAGAGGTGTACAGCATGGAAACAGACCCTTTGGTCCAACTCATCCATGCTGTCCAAATATCCTAAATAAATCTAGTCCCATTTGCCAGCATTTGGCTCATATCCCTCTAAATCATTCCTATTCATGTGCCCATCCAGATGCCTTTTAAAATGTTGTATTGTACCAGCCCCTACCACTTCCTCTGCCAGCTCATTCCCATAAGCGCACCACTCTGTGACAAAGTGGCCCCTTAGGTCTCTTAAATCTTTCCCTCTCACCTTAAACCGATGCCCTCTAGTTTTGGACTCCCCTACCTTGGGGAAAAGACCTTGGCTGTTTACCCTATCCATGCCCCTCTTGATGTTGTAAACCTCTGTAAAAGGTCACCCCTCAGCTTTCAATACTCTAGGGAAAATAGCACCAGCCTATTCAGCCTCAGCAACATCCCTGTAAATCTTTTTTGAACCCTTTCACAACATCCTTCCTGTAGCAGGGAGGCCAGAATTGTACACAGTATTCCAAAAAGTGGCCTAACCAATGTGCTGCACAGCTGCAACATGACCTCCTAACTCCCATACTCAATGCGCTGACCAATAAAGGCTAGCGTACAAAATGTGTCTTCACTATCCTATCCGAGACTCCACCTTCTTGGAACTATGAACCTGCACTCCAAGGTCTCTTGGTTCAGCAACACTCCCCAGGACCTTACCATCTAGTGTCTAATTCTTGCCTCAATTTGCCTTTCTAAAAACACAGCAGCTCACATCTCAATTAAACTCCATCTGCCCCTCATCGGTCCATTAGCCCATCTGATCAAGATCCCATTGTACTCTGGAGGTAACTTTCTTCACTGTCCCCTACACATCCAATTTTGGTGTCATCTGCAAACTTATTAACCATACCTCCTACATTCACATCCAAATCATTTATATAACGCGACAAAAAGCAGTGGACCCAACCCCAGTCCTTGTGGCACACCACTGGTCACAGGCCTCCAGTCTGAAAAGCAACCCTCCACCACCCTGTCTTCTACCGTCGAGCTAGTTCTGTATCCAAATGGCTAGTTCTCCCTGTATTCCATGTGATCTAACCTTGCTAACCAGTCTACCATGAGGAACCTCGTCAAACACCTTACTGAAGTCCATATAGATCTTATCCACTGCTCTGCCCTCATCAATCCTCTTAATTACTTCTCCAATGAACTCAGATCAAGTTAGTGAGACACGATTTTCCATGCACAAAGCCATGTTGACCATCCCTAATCAGTCCTTGCCTTTCCAAATACCTGTAAATCCTATCCCTCAGAATTCCCCTCAGCAATTTGCCCACCACCAATGTCAGGTTCACTGGTCTATAGTTCCCTACCACCATTTCCTTAGCACCTTTCTTAAACAGTGGCATGTTAGCCAACATCCAGCCTTCCAGCATCTCAACTGTGGCTATCAATGATACAAATCTCAGCAAGGGACCCAGCAATCTCTTCCCTAGCTTCCCAGAAGGTTCTAGGATACACCTGATCAGGTCCTGGGGATTTATCTACCTTTATGTGTTTTAAGACATCCAGCACCACTTCCTCTGTAAGATGGACATTTTTCAAGATGTTGCTATTTATTTCCCCACATTCTATATCTTTCATATCCTTCTCCACAGTAAACACCGATACAAAATACTCATTTAGTATCTTACCCAATCTCCTGCAGTTCCACACATTAATGATCTTTAAGGGGTCCTATTCTTTCCCTAGTTACCTTTTCGTCCTTAATGCATTTGTAAAATCTCTTTGGATTCTCCTTAACCCTCTTTACCAAAGCTATCTCATGTCCCCTTTTCTCCTCTCCCGATTTCCCTCTCAAGTATACTCTTACTGCCTTTCTCTCAAAAATACAACATGCAACGCAAGATCATATTAACTCTTGTGGAAAACTGTAGATTGGTAAAGTGGCCCAGTGTGTAAGAATCTCACTTCCATGTCAGAAGGTTGCCAGTTCAATTCAGGAATTGAATTAGCTTTATTGTCACATGTACCCAAACAAGCACAGTGAAAAAAAGTTCATACATCACCATCTTATATGCAAGGGTACCTAGACACAGATTCTTCAGGGGAAAAAAATTAGAAGAAATAAAAAGTCCAGCAGTGCAAATTATAGGAATAAGTTAGAAACTAGTGAAATAAGATGTTCAAAACTGTCTTTCTGATCCAGTCCACACCAGCACCTAGCCTCTGGTACACATCAGGCTTCAACTCAAGGTTCGAGGCTGGGAGATCCCTCTGGAATCACCTGGAGACTGGAAATCCATGCTGTGACAACAACGGACTGAGAGACCACCACATACCATCGGAAGACCACCATGCCAGGCTGAGAGATAGCCTCTAGGGTGACATTAGTAATGGTCCTGAGAGTGCTACACTACCATCGATGTTCTATCTTATAGATACCAAAGGGTTAAACAGAAGGTCTGTGCACCCTCTCAGGTAGATTTAAAGATCCCAAGGCACCACTTGGTAGAAGAGCCAGGAATGTGCTGTCCAATATATATCTTCCAACCAACATCTCCAAACCAAAAAAAAAATTAGCAAAAAAAAAGGATACTCCAAACAGTCAGTATGAAGAAAAGCAGGGTTAACAGGGAAAGTCTTAAACGTCAACTCTTTTTCTCCACAGGTGCTACCTGATCTGTCAAGAGCTTCACAAAAAATAGAAAAAGAAATAGAAGTAAGCCACTGGACCCCTACATTTCCTGCCATTTAATAAAAATCATCATTGGACTGTTAATCCAGAGACCCAGATAACATTCTGGGGCCTGGGTTCGAATCCTGCCACAGCAGATGGTGGAATTTGAATTCACTAAAATATCTGGAATTAAGAGCCTAATGATGACCATGAATCCATTGTTGATTGTTGGGAAAACCCATCTGGTTCACTAATGCCCTTTAGGGAAGGAAACTGTCATCCTTACCTGGTCTGGCCTACATAATAAATGCTGCCTAGCCAGTGATGCCATCATCCAATGAATAAGTTTAAAAAAAAAGGGTTGTTCAGACTGCTTCAAATGTTACCCACACTATTACAGGAGAGGAGGCTGCATTCAAACAGGGCCCTTTCTAAAAACTGCAGCCAGTTAGCCAATGGTCAATGAGCCAACATTCACAGTAGTGTCAATATCACAGTTTCAAATCCCATTGTAGGTGAGGCAAACACAGGACCTGCATTTTATACTGCAGCATAGCAAGTGCAGGGCAGTGACAAACCCAACACTGATGGGTATATGTAGTGGTAAGCAGTGGCATTGGGTTCTAAATCAGCCCCAGAGGTCAGATGTCAGAGAAAGTAGGAGTGGCGAGGGGGGGCAGGGGGGTGGCATTCAGCCCTTTGAGCCTACTCCACCATTCAACATTATCATGGCTGATCATCCAACTCAGTCCCTTGTTCCAATTTCTCCCCCATACCTCTCGATCCCTTTAGCCCCAAGAACTATCTAACTCCTTTTTGAAAACATTCAATGTTTTGGCCACAACTGTTTTCTGTGAATGCTACAGGCTCACCACTCTGAAGACATTTCTCATCTCAGTCCTACACAGCCTACCTGTATCTTTACATAGAGACCCCTGGTTTATGGACTCCCCCACCTCTGGGGACATCCTTCCCATTTTTACCCTGTTAGAATTTTATAGGTTTCTGAGATCTCCCTGCCCCACTCCATTCTTCCAAAGTGAAGATGATCTAACAGATCCAGTCTCTCCTCATACATCAGTCCTGCATCCCAGGAATTCAGAGGGCTACAGTGTGGTCACAAAATTGTAAAGACTCCTTGCTTCCCACAAATTAAAGGCACAAAAAGGAATTTTTTTTTTTTTTTTTTTTTAGAAAACATAATAGCCATTGAAAATCAGCTCCCCAAGAACCCATTGGGACAGTACATATAGTAGCCTTTAATACAATAAAAGTAGATTAAGTTAGTGTTTTACAGCTAAAACCTTTAGTAGAGCATTTCCTTAAACTATTTCCTTCCCTGCTCCTTTCCCTTAATCTCAAAATCATGCGAGTCTAAGTCATTTCCTTTCATGGTATCAGGCTATTACAGTTAACCCTCTAGTTGAACATACACAAACCATAGTCCCATTGGCAGAGCATCTCACTACTCATACCAATGCATAGATTTTATCCAAAAATAATCTTTAAATAGAGCCATAAATTCATCGTCATACAGCACGGAAACAGACCCTTTGATCCAACTTGTCCATGTCAACTGAGTTTCCCCAAATTAAACTCATCCCACCTGCTTGTTTGGTCCATATCCCATAGCCCACCAACCCTTCCCTATTCATGTACCTGTCCAAATGTCATTTAAATGCTGTAACTGTACTTGCATCCACCACTTCCTCTGGCTGTTCATTCCAGAGATGAACCACCCTCTGTGGAAAAAGTGGTCCCTCATGTCCCTTTTAAATTCCACCCCCCCCCCCCCCCCCAATTTTAAAATTGTGCCCTCTAGTTTTGAAGTCCCCTACTTTGGGTAAAAGACCTTGGTTATTTACCTGATCTGTGACCCTCATGATTTTATAAATCTCTATAAAAGGTCACCCCTCAAACTCCTACACTCCAGTGAAAAACATCCCAGCCTCCACAGCCTCTCTACAACTCAAATCCTCCAGGCCCAGTTGTATCTTGGTAAATCTTTTCTGAACCCTCTCCAACATAATTATAATCAATCCTAAAGCAGGGCAACAAGAACTGTACACGATAGTCCAGAAGAGGCCTCACCAACATCCTGTGCAACCTCAACATGATGTCCCAACTGCTATACTCAAATGATCTGAGCAATGAAAGCAAGTGTGCTAAATGCCTTCTTAACCACCCAACTACCTGTGACACCACTTTCAAGGAATTATGTGCCTGAACCTCCCCCACCCAAAGTCTGTGCTACAACACTACCCAGGGCTCTACCATCAACTGTAAAGTCCTGCCCTTGTTTGTTTGATGAAAATGTAATACCTCATTTATCCAAATTAAACTCCATCTGCTGCTTCTCAGCCCATTGGCCAAATTGATCAAAATCTTTGTAGTTTAGGATAACTTTCATCACTGTCCACCATACAATCAATTTTGGTGTCATCTGCAAACTTGCTAATCCATGCCTCCTAAACTGTCATCCAATTTATATAAATGACAGTGGACTCAGCACTGATTCCTGCAAAACACTGGTGACAGACATCTGGACCCTGCACCATTCTGTCTCCTGCATCAAGCCAATGTTGTGTCCAACTGGCTACCTCACCCTGAATTCCGTGTGATCTAACTTCAGTAATTAGTGTACCATGTGGAACCCTGTCAAAGGCTTTACAGCTACTAATAATAACAATTATAATGTGACAGGAGTGTTGAGAAAGAGATGAATATCACGCCATAGGTGAGTGTTCAAATAGATGAAAACTCTGGTGTTCAAAGAACTCCAGCACTCGGCTTTTCCTTGCTTTGTGGCTGTTGTAGATTAATCAAGAGTTCGATTGATCTGATTGCTGAAGAAGTCCATTATTTTCGATCATATGGCTATCAGGTGGTAGCACTCTTGCCTCTGAAGCTCAAGGTCCCAAGTTCAAATCTTATTTGGGGCTCGAGTGGGAACTAAACCAAGGTTGCTGCTCCAGTGCAGTACTGAGAGCGTGTTGGACTGTCGTGTGCAGTCCTTCAAAAGGAGATGGAAAATAGATAGACATTCCGTTCTGCAATCTGCAGAAGATCCCAAGACACTATGTCAGATAGGAGGAAGGGATTACCCTGGTCAATACTGATCTCTTCATGGATATCACAAGTGCACATCTAGCCATTATGTGGTCACTATCACATCATTAGTCACTTCAATAATAAAAAAATGTTGGTGAAAACTCTTATGGCACAGCATTAATGTCCCTGCCTCTGATCCAGAAGGGCTGGGTTCAAATTTCCACCTGCTAAAGGTGTGATGTAACATCTCTGAACAGAGACTAGAAAATATCTAAAAATGTTGGTAGTATCTTGGTGTCAGTCTCAGATGCTAACAGAAACAGAACTAAATAGACACCAAAAGAACTGATGCTATGAATCAGAAAAAAAACAGAAAATTGCTGGAAAAACTCAGCAGGTCTTGCAGCATTTGTGGAGAGAAATCAGAGTTAACGTTTTCAGGTTGAGTGATCTTTCGTCAGAATTGCACTTCTGAGGACGGGCCACTGGATCCAAAACATTAACTGACTTCTCTCCACACATACTGCCAGACCTGCTAAGCTTTTCCAGCAATTTGTTGTCAGAAACAGAACTAGACAGACTTTTCTCATCTAGAAATACTTGTTTTTTTGACATAATGAATTATTAGTCAAACGTAATTGCATCATCAGTGTTTATTCTAATTATAAAAAGGTAGACAAATATCATTAAAAGATTTGTATGATTTAAGATCAAAGCCCCACATAAGGAGAAGGATTTAGATCTATTACTTGTTCATGGGATGTGGGCATCGCTGGCTAGGGCCAGCATTTAGAGACAACCCCACTGCTGTGGGTCTAGAATCACATGTAGGCCAGACCATGCAAGGATAGTAGATTTCCTTCCCTAAAGAATATTAGTGACCCAGACAGTCTTTACAACAATCAGCAGTGGTTACTGGTAACCATTGCACGAGCATTTCATCCTGAAATTCAAACTAAAAAAATTTATCATCTGCTGCGGTGGGATTCCAACCCATGTCAACATTTCTCTGGACTAGTAATCCAGAACCCTGGCCCAGAGAAATATACCACTAGGCCACCACCTCAACATAAAAGGAGACAGCTAATGTAATTGCATGTTGAGAATCTCCCTCCCCTATACGTCCTCATGACTAGCATTGTTTGCATATTTCATTCAGGAAAAATTCAGGGCTGGCAATGGTTGCTAGCTGGTCTTTGCAGTAGTATGGGAATAGATTAGCATTGACATTAACATCGAACAAGTCAAGCTGCTAAAATGCCAGTGATTCACTTTGTATCTGCAAAGACACATTCACACAATTCCATCGAAAAATGTTCCATTAGATCAGGGTCTTTTGAACAAAGCTGGGCTGCTCTCTATTGGTTTGACAAGCCTCACCTGTCTTTAAATCCCCGAACCACTTTCTGAATGAGGATGACCTTGTCAGTGATGGCCTTGTCTCTTTCGATCTCCAGCAACATATCATGGTGATCCTGAATGAAACAAAACACACAAGGCAAGTTTAGTGATGATGAAAATAAACTCCATCACAATATAGCATATTCAAAGATAAAAGATGGTAACTGCCCCTTCCACCAGCCGAGAGCTTTGATAATATCTAACATTTCCTACTGCATTGAGAGTCAGTGTTGTTACAGTGCAGGAGGCGGCCCATCGGCCCATCATATCTGTGCTGGACATCAAGCATTTGTCTATTCTAACCCCATTTTCCAGCCCATTTGGCTTGTAGCCTTGGATGCTTTGGTACCAGTATAATGGGAATGAACATGTTAATTGCATTATTGTTGACGCTGTTTGAGATTTGGTATTCTTGCAAATTGTCCCGAGTACAAGATGAAAAAAAAAGTGTCAGCAATATGTACATGATATTTGAGCTCTGTACTACCAGAAGATTGATGATTTTCCGATAAGACAGAACTATGACAATAGGACTGTTCATGCTTTCAAAACTTGGAGACAGGAAAGGAAGAATTGGAGAACTGGATTCAGCATTCTATATGCAAGGAGAATTGAAGAGTTTAATGGATTTCTACCAGGTCAAATTAGTCAAAGACAGGGGTCCAGTAGTCAGTAGGGACAGTCCAGCTCAGTAAAGCAACGTTGACAGCAGGGTAGACCTGGATATCTTGGTGAGAAACGAGAGAAGCTGGAACCAAGCAGAAATGAATCTAGGTACAAGCATCCGAGCAGGCTCAAACAATGAAAAGGAGTCCAAATCATTACCTACGCAAAATATTGATTGAGAATCAATGGAAATCTGAAACACTCCCCTATGAAAGCAGAAAAGCCACGTCAATTCCAAACCCACTACCACTTCCCATTAGAAGGGCAAGGGCAGCAGATACATGGGAACACCACCATCTGCAAGTTCCCCTCCAAGCCACTCACCATCCTGATTTGGAAATATATCCCTGTTCCTTCAGTGTCACTGGGTCAGAATCCTGGAATTCCCTCCCTAAGGGCATTGTGGGTCTATCTACAGCACATGGACAGCAGTGGTTCAAGATGGCAGCTCAACACAATCTTCTCAAGGGCAACTAGGGACGGGCAATAAATGCTGGCCCAGCCACATGCCATGAGAATTTTTAAAAAAAAAAAAAGAAAAAATTTTACACAAAATGAAACATAAGCAGCACAAAAATGAATAAGAAATCCAAGGTAAGCAAAAGATATGGATCAACTGTGATCAGGCTCCAAAAGGGCTGAATGGCCTACTCTTCCTATTTCTAGAGGAGAGTACCTTTAACTCACTGATTCAGAGTTCATGCAAGGTGTGGCTTTACTCTAGATGTGGTCTCTCCCAGGCTCTGTACAACTGCAGTAAGACGTCTTTAATCCTTTACTCAAATCTTATGGAATAAAGACCAACAGATCATTCGTCTTCTTCATTGCTTCCCGCAACTGCATGTTAATGTTCACTGACAAGTCCTTTTGAAGTTCTACACATCCCAGTCTCTCACCATTTAAGAAATCCCCTGCATTGCTTTTTTTTTAAAAAACTACACAAGTTGCCAACCTCTCATTTCAACTCTGTCTTCTATCTGCCAAATCTTTGCCCATTTGCTTCACCTCTTAAAATCTTAGTATCTCCGTCAGTTTTGGGTCATCCTCAAACTTGTAACTCATACATTTAATCGCCACATCCATGTTGCTCATAGATGGTTAGCTGGAGGCCCGAGCACTAAGCCTTGATGTACCAAACTGAGAGTAACCCATTTAGCCCTACTGTTTTCTGTCTGTTAATTAGTTTCCTGCCCGTGCAAGTATAGATTGATATAAAATATAAAGTATCTATCTGTTCAGAGATGTTATTACACACCTTCAGAGCAGGGCCTCCTGGCTCAGAGGGATGGAAACTACCACTGCTCCACAAGAGCCCTCTCCATGCCAGCACACACTTCCCAAAACCCATGTCCCCTAATGTTTCTTTACAAGTCCTTTGTAAAATGTTATTGAAAGCCTTTTGTCAATTTCAGTATACCATATCCACCTGTTCTCCCTCCTCTATTCTGGTAGTTTTCCTCTATGTCTACTTTGTCAATTGCCTTTAGCATTGTTGGCTGGTTTGCTGAACTAACTGCCTTTCGTGTAATTGTTTGGCCTCCCTTCTAGGTGACATTGTCAGTGCTGTGTAACCTCTGTTGAAGCGCTGCTGTTCTGTCCCGCTCTGAATTTATATGGGGTCTGGTCTGTTATGGCAGGCAGTCTTGTTTCTGGTTTTGTACCGAAGTGATATGTAGATGGTGTCTATTTCAACATGTTTGTTAATTCATCGGTGGTTGAAAACCATGCCTCCAGGACTTCTTGTGCTGTAACTTTGTCCCAGCTAACCGGATGCCCTTCTATGTTTGTGTATTGAAACGAGGGAGAGTTGGTCGTGCTGTTTTGCTGGGAGTTGGTGTTCACGTATCCTGATTGTGAGTTTCCTGTCAGTCTGTCCTACGTCGTGTTTCTCACAGTTGCTGCATGGTATTTTGTATATCACGTTTGTCCTGCTCATTGTGGGTATGGGATCTTTCATCTTTGAGTGTAACTGGTGAAGTGTGGCTATTGGTTTGTGTCCTTATTCCAAGAGGTTGTAGTAGTCTTGTAGTCAGTCTGATGTGTTTCTAACAGAGGGTAGGGTGGCTGGTGTGTTGGGGCATACTGTGTCTTCTTGGTAGTGTTTGTTTGCCAGGCAATCTGCAGATGAAGCTGTTAGGATAACCAATAAAAACCAAAAAGAACTGCGGATGCTGTGAATCGGGAACAAAAAACAAAGTTGCTGGAAAAGCTCAGCAGGTCTGGCAGCATCTGTGAAGGGAAAAAACAGAGTTAACGTTACAGCCTCCCCTTTGAGGCTCTACCCTATCGTTTACTCCCTACCCCACCCACCTCCCTATTTTCTGCATATAAAACTGACGTTTTCCCAGCCACCATCAGTTGAGGAAGGGGCACTGGACCAGAAACGTTAACTGTTTTCTCCTTCACAGATGCTGCCAGATCTGCTGAGCTTTTCCAGCAACTTTGTTTTTGTTCCTGTTAGGATAACCATTGTTTGCAAACCAACTCCAACTGCCATCTGAGCTACAGATCTTCGTTAAAACATTAAAAATCCCCTTTAGCAGCTCACATCTCAGCTAGATTTCCTCTCCCTCTTCTAAACTCCCGAGCGTAGAGGCCTCAACTGGTCACTGTCTCCTCATAAGAGAAGCCCCATATCTCTGGGATCAAATCTTGTGAACCTTCTCTGAACCACCTCCAATGCGATTCTCTCCCCCCAGGCAACGAGATCAAAGACTGTACACGATTCTTCAGCTGTGGTCTCACTGCTACAATCGTTTAGTTGCAGCGTCATTTCCCTATTTTTATAGTCAATTCCTTGAGCCAAAAATACAATTACTGCTGTTTGGTGGCCTATAAAATAGGCCTCCTGAAGCTTTGAGATAAAAAAAGTTTTTCTGACGAAAGGTCTAGGCCTGAAACGTCAGCTTTCCTGCTCGGCCTGCTGTGTTCATCCAACTCTACACCTTGTTATCTCAGATTCTCCAGCATCTGCAGTTCCTACTATCTCTCTACTCCTGAAGCTCTGTCCCCTTCTTGTTTCAGTTCTACCCAAACTGATTCTCCACCTTGACTAGCGTCTGCTGACCATTTCAAACAGGATGACAGCACACTTTGGTGACACACATTTATCGTTTTTAGAGCCACATGCCGTCAGCAATATTTCATGACCCTTGACTGACAGCCCCTTTATTCCAATCCTCTCCCACCCCATGTGATTGCAACACTTTAAAAAAATTCCTAAAATAAATCTCTCCACTCATTCTCTGGTTTCTTTTCCTTTGCCATGACAACAGCCTTCCACAATCATCACTGTCCCATCAGAAGATCTGGAGTTTCCGGATTGGGAGTGGGAATCTCTCGTTGTCCTCAGCCATAAACAAATAAATGAACAAAGCAGTTTCCTGACATAGGCACAGCTGAGACTCGCTGATAAACCCTATCCACCCATGGGGGAGTTTAAAAAACAAAACAAGGCCGTTCCCTTAGTCAGTCACTGGTCTCAGTGCTATCACTATCACAAGGACTGGAGTATTTAAAATAAAAGCACTTTGTATGAATGTTACTGAATGAAAACTAGACCCTCCAGTTGCCTAGAGGGAGATACAAGGAGGGTGCAAGCCTGATCAAAGGGAGAGCTTCTGAAAAAGAGAAAAAAAAGAGAGAGAGAGAGAGAGAGAGAGATAGAGAGATAGAGAGAGAGAGAGAGAGAGAGAGAGAGAGAGAGAGAGAGAGAGAGAGAGAGATGTTTAAGAGTGGGAATTCCAGACCTAAATTCTAATTGAAACAGCCGAGGGCCAGACCATCGAGAGTACAGCAGTGAAACATTGGTGATTCACAAGGGGCCATATTTAGATTGATGTACTGTAGGGGAGGAAACTACCATCCTTACCTGGGTCAGGCCTATGTGAGACTCCAGGCACGCGCATCAAACAGAATTGACTCTTTACTATCTTCTGAAAAGTCCGAGCAAGCCACTCAGTTCAAAGGCAATTAGGGACAGATTAAGAAAATGCTGGCCCTGCTGCCTCATCCCACATGAAAATAAAAATGGTGAGTAATCTCAATGAGTAACAAGTTGCATGTCTTCTCATCTGTGTGGCCCACTCATTAGTGAATTCCGAGCTGAGGACCACTCCATAGAGCTCCCTTTATTCAAGGATAGTTTATTTACAGAAGGTGGCAGGCACTCTTAATTCAAAGCCCCTGTCCTCAGTCTGTCCCAGTATCTATCCTACGGGTAGAGTTGTACTGGAGGCAATTCAGAAGAGGTTCACAAGATTGACTCCAGTCTGTCTCAGCCAAGTCACATTGCCTCTCAAACCCAGAATGCCGTGTCCAGGAGCTTGCTGGAGACAGACTCCATAAAAGGCTCTCCAACCGGGCACCAGGCCATTATTTAAATAGAAATAATGTCAAGAGCCGTATGGAAAGGGCAGGGGGGAAATGACACGACGTTACGACAGTCACTCAGACCTGTGTACCCCGATAGGCTGAATGGCCGCCGCCTGTTTGTACATGCAACATGATCACTGTCGGTAACATTTGTTGCCCCTCCTTAACTGTCCTTGAATGGAGAGGCTTACTCATCCACTTCAGACAGCAACCCCATTGCTGAGAGTGTGGAGTCACATGTAGGCCAGGCCCAGTAAGGATGGCAGTTTCTTTCCCTGAAGGGCATCAGAGAACCAGATGGATTTTAAGAACAACTGATAACTTCATAATTACCGTCTGAGACGGGAGATATTAAATGGAATTTAAGTTCCATCAGCGGCTCATGGTTGGATCTGAACCCATGTCTCAAGCATTCACCTGGGTCTCTGGATGAATGGACCGGTGACATTACCATTGTGCTACTATCCCTCATCTTTGGGATTCTGAAATTCACTATTTTCATTCAAGTACAAGTAGATCGCACTTGTTTGCAAACAAATGGGAATTCCTCACTCTCCAGTTTCAGAATCTTGTTATACACATTTCGTCTCTTTAGTAAACTTCACCCGAGTACAATGTGGAAAATCCCCTTCAAATGAGAACAAAGTGAGAGATATGGAAGAGATAATCGGATGAAGTATCTTATTGATTAACAGCACTACCCTCTTCAGGGAGGGTAAAAGATCCCGTACTGCTACTTCAAAGAAGGGGAGTTTAACCCCGGTATCTTGGTCAATATCTATCCATCCTTCAGCATCACAAACAAACAGATTGCCTGGCTGTTTATCACATTGTGGTTCCAGGGAGCTTGCTGTGTGAAAATGGCTGCCGTGTTTCTTGTATTACAAGAACAAGAACAACAACAACAACAACAAGTCTTCAGAGAGTAGTTCATCAGCTGTAGTGCATGTTGGATCTCTGGTGGTCCACATGGAGATACAATGAAAAGCACTCATCTACCCCCTACCAGTCAGGTTAACATTCCAATGGAATCAGCCTATCACAAAGCTGACGAGCATCTCCCCTGGATCCAGGTAACTGGCCGCTAAAAGGCTCCAAAAAGGATGGTTGAACCAGCTGACAACTTTGCTGCTTAGGGTTTTTCCCAGAAACTTGTATCAGAGATTGGAGAAGGCTTTGGAAGCCAAGAACTAACTCTACCAGGTAGCCCTCACTGCAGCATAAGGCAGGGAGTAAGCCATTCAACACAATCATGCCTGATCATTCAACTCAGACCCCTGTTCCTGCTTTCTCCACAAAGCCTTTAATCCCTTTAGCCCCAAGAACTGACTCCTCCTTGAAAGTATTCAATGTTCTGTGGCAGAGAATTCCACAGACTCCCTGTGCCTGCTCCAGTTCCAATACCAAATGCCAGTCTCCTTTCTTTGCTCCATATCCCTGCACACCATTACCAGCCCAAAAACAAAGACCGAATGCCCTTCTTGAAAGCCTCAATTGAACCTGCCTCCACCACATTTCCAGGCAATGCATTCCAGACCCTAACTACTCAATGCATGAAAAAAAAAAAAAAAAGATTTTAAAAATGGAATAAAAGAGAAGGTCACCACGCTCTGGGTGAAGAAATTTCTCAAAGTCGGTCATACAGCATGGAAACAGACCCCTCGGTCCAACTTATCCATGTCAAGTGGACATCCCAATCTGACATAAGGTGTAGAGCTGGATGAACACAGCAGGCCAAGCAGCAGAGGAGCAGGAAGGCTGACGTTTCGGGCCTAGACCCTTCTTCAGAAATCAGAAATGCAGTTCCTAATATCTCATCCAAATCTGACAGTCCCATTTGCCAGCATTTGGCCCATATCCCTCTAAACCCTTTCTATTCATATACCCATCCAGATGCCTTTTAAATGTTGTAATTGTACCAGCCTCCACCGCTTCCTCTGGCAGCTCATTCCATACACGCACCACCCTCTGCGTGAAAAAATTACCCCTCCGGTCCCTTTTTAAATCTTTCTCCTCTCACCTTTAAACCCATGCCCTCTAGTTTTGGACTGCCCTACCCCAGGAAAAAGACCTTCTCTATTTAACTATTCCATAAACCTCTATAAAGGTCACCCCTCAGCCTCCGATGCTCCAGGGAAAATAGCCCCACCTATTCAGCATCTCCCTATAGCTCAAACCCTCCAACCCTGATAACATTGTTGCAAATCTTTTCTGTACCCTCTCATGTTTAACAACATCTTTCCTACGGCAGGGAGACCAGAATTGTATGCAGTATTCTAAAAGTGGCCTCAGCAATGTCCTGTACTGCCACAAGATGACATCCCAACTCCTGTACTAAACATTTGACCAAGGAAGGCAAGTGTGCCAAATGCCTTCATCACCCTGTCCACCTGCGACACCACTTTCAAGGAACTATATGCCTGCACCTCTGGGTTCCTTTGTCTGACAACTATCTTCAGGGCCCTAATGTTAACTGAGCAAGTCCTGCACTGGTTGACCTTACCAAAATACAACACCTCAAATTAAACTCCATCCGCCACTCCTTAGCCCATTGGCCCATTAGCCCATTAGCTCAAGGTCTTCATCTCAGTCTTGAATGACCTACCCAGTATCTTAGACCGATGCCTGGTTCTCTTCCTTTCTGCATTTACCTTGCCTAATCCTGTTAGACATTTATATGTTTCAGAGATTCCTCCCTACCCTCACCTCTCATTCTTGTAAACTCCACCGAATATAGTCCAAACCAATCCAGTCTCTCTTCATACTTCAGTCCTGCCATTCCACGAATCAGTCTGGTAAACTCGCACTCTCTCTGCTGTCGACAATAGAATATTTTTTCTTTTTTTAAAGAAAGAAATACACACCTTTAGGAAAATCTTTGTCTTTCCGATCTGCCAATCTCCGTCTTTTCCCAGAACTGCCTCTGCTATCCGTTGACACGTGCCACGCAGATCTCCCTGGCAACAGAGAAGGAGTTTTTTTTAAGAAAAGGTTTCACTCTAGAATGAAAAAAAGGTGTCCCGACTCCAGAACACACCCTCGACCTGGTGCCAATGGATGAGCAGCAACCCCACCTTGAGTCACACGGTTTCACCCCATTCCAGGCAGGACCACAATCTCAACAGAGTCTTCACTGTAGCAAGGAGTATATGAAACATCAGGGGCACTAACTTTTTGAAAACAATCATATTTTTGTCAAGGAAGTGAAGCAGACCAGCAGGAAGCACCTTCAAAGTGAGATCACCAAATATTAGAAGTAGGCCATTCAACCTAATCTGCCATTCAGTAGGATCATGGCTGATCTGATTATGGCCTCAATGGTGCCTCCTTGCCTAGTCACCCCTCTATCCACTCCCTCATCAAGTTAAGCTTTCCCTAACTCAGCCCAAACGTATTCACTCTTCAGCCTCCCCTGCTCTTGCTGGAAATAAAAATCTTCCAAGATTAAAAGAATCTCAGATGATATCCCTCCTCATCTCGATCTTAAATGGGAGAGATCTTCATTTTTAAACTGTGCTCTCAATTATGGATTGCAGACAGTTTGTGCTGCAGCGAGTATTATCCCTGCTTCACAGATGGATATCGATGTTCTTTACATGTAAGACTAAGACAGACACACACACACACACACACACAGTTAACACCCAGGTGCAGCAAGCAATGAAGAAGGGAAATGACATTTTTGGCCTTTATTGCTAGAGGCTTGGGGTTTAAGAACAGGGCAGTCTTGTTACAACTGTACACTGTATCGGTGAGACCACACCTGGTCTGCTGCACAGTTTTGGTCCCCATACTTAAAAGGAGGTAGTTCAAAAAAAAACAAACAAAAAACCATTCACTCAATTGATTCCTGGCATGCAGGGATTATCATATCAAGGGTGGCTAAAACAGTTAGGCCTTTATTCATTTGAATATTGGATAATGCAATGGACTAGACCAAACCCCTCTAAATACATCAAGGAGACAGACAGACCATAAATTTATCTTCAAGAGGCACTGTGTTCCCGATGTGATTCAATTGATCCACTACTAGGCTTTAAGCAAAACACTTTATTCTTACAGCATTAAACTATAAACAAAAAAGCTATCACAACTTTAACAATATTGAATTACTTAAAAATATTATTTAACTACTACTTATCGACTGTTCCAATGTAACAGCATTTCATAACTCTTGGCAAAGGCAACTTCAGCAAAACAGTGTTATTCTTATATAGAAGGACCTAGCAGCAGAGAAAAAACCCAAGCTGTTTGCTACAGCAGAGAGCTACATCTATCAGTTTCAAACTCCAACTTCAGCTGAAAGCAAACGGAAACCCTGGGTCTGAGAGAGCCAAACTCCACCCACTCATGCTTCTTTTTGTCAAAATTTAGAAAACAGAGGTCAAAGCTGCTTGCCCACTGCTTCTGAAGCAGGCATTCCAGCATCGCTGTGGCAACACCTCTCTGCAAGAGAAACAGCAGAGAACACATCTCTCTCTCAGGCACAGTACAGTCACAATAAGGAGTTATCTTACTGAAACACAGGAGATTCTGAGGGACTTGACAAGTGTAGAGGTTGAGAAAAAAAGTGTTTCACTCGTGGGGGGGGGGGGGGGGGCTCTCAAACCATGAGACTTGGTTACAAAATAAGAGCTCACTCATTTAAAACTAGGATGCGTAGGTATTTCTTCTCTGAGTGAATATCTGGAATTCTCCACCCCAGACAGCTGTGGAGGCTGGATCAAATGAACACATTAAGTATTATAACAGAATCCCTACTGTGCGGGGACGTGCCATTTGGCCATTGAGTAGGCACTGACTCTCCAAAGAACATCCCACCCAGACTCACCCCCTACCCTATCACTGCATTTTCCATGGCTAACGCCCTTAGCCTGCACATCCCTGGACACTATGGGCAATTTAGCATGGCCAATCCACCCTAACCTGCACATCTTTGGACTAGGAGGGGAAACCAGAACATCCAGAGGAAAACTCAGACACCTGGAGAATGTGCAAACCCCACACAGGCAGTTGTTACAGGGTGGAATCGAACCTGGGTCCCTGGCACTGAGGCACAGAGGAACTAACCACTGAGCCATCATGCCACCCTTCTTCATTTAAAGGAGTGCTGAATGGATTTTTGAAATATTGCTTTGAGAGCTAAGGAATAAGCATGAAAGAGAGGAGTTGAGGCCTTGGGTAGATCAGCCATGACTGTATAAAATAGTAGGGGCTAGATGGCCTACTCGTGCTCATATCTGAGCTTCCAATCCAGAATCTCCAGCCTAGTGATATTATCACTAGATTATTAATTCAGAGAAACTCCGCTAACATCCTGGGGACCCAGGTTCCAATCCCACCATGGCAAGTGGCGCAATTATTATTCAGGCTGATATTAAATCATAAAATTATGCAGTACAGAAGAGGCCCTTTGGCCTGTCTAGTTTGTACTGCCAAAGCTACACTTAAGTCTACACTAGACGATAGAGCCGTACAACATGGGAACGGGCCCTTTGGCCCACAATGTTGTGCTGAACATGACGCCAAATCAAACTAATCCCTTCTGCCTGCCCTCAGTCCATATCCCTCCATTCCTTGCATATTCACATACTTATCTAAAAGTCCTTTAAATGCCTTTATTGTATCTGCCTCCACCACCAGCCCTGGCAGTGTATTCCAGACTCAAGTTCCACTTTCCTCACTAGGTCTCCAGCCTCAAATATTATGACATATTCTCTGGAGTTGAGAGAAATGAGAGGTAGTGATCTCATTTGAGCACACAAAATTCCTACAGGTAGATGTAGGAAAGAGGTTTCCTGAACCAGGGTGGAGTGTGGGCTGGTTGCAGAGTCTCGGAATAAGGCACAGACCATTTAGTGAGAAAGGGATGAGGAGGAATTTCAAAGAAGTGAAAATCTTCAGAATTCTCTGCCCCAGAGGGCTGGGAGCTCACACATTGGATATGGGCAACATAGAGTTCGATAGATTTTTTTTTTTAAAAAACACAAGACATCAAGGGATATGGGATAGCAGATGATCAGCCAGTGATTTGTTCCTGTGGCAGGGCTGAACGACCTCCTCCTGCTCCTATTTTCTAGGTTCCTATGGAATCAGAAGGGTCACAAAACACGGAATAAAATGCTCTGTACCACCATGGATGAATAGCAGCATGCTGGCTGACTGTGGTGCTGCAGAGGTTGGGTTGGGTAAGGGGTGTTGGCAAAGTGTTGAGTTGACAAGTCATCACACACAGCCCCTTGTCCTCCATAAAGCTTGCCACACACAAGCTGCCCATCACCCAGGTGTCCAGTCAGGACAAATCAGAGCTCGTGCAGCAGGGAATATAGCCAAGGGCAACATTGGCCCCCAACGCCAATCCTTGCTCTTCCTTTGTTGATCAGCGATTCACACCTTACATCAAGAACCCTGTTATCACAAACTCTTGTTTCTTCCACCAAACATGCCTCCTGTGGCGCCTCCTCCTCGTTCACTTGCTCAACCCTCACCCTCCACTTCTCATCTCTCAGTTCGGACGAAAGATCATCAACTGAAACATCAACGTCATGTTTCCACACCCCCCCCGGCCCCGCTTCCCACACCTCCGCATCCAGAGCCGTGGAACACTTCCAGAATGTTCTGTTTTTATTTCAGAATCAGAAGATGATACACAGGGCCTCAAGTTGGGAGGAATGAGACCACACAGTGAAAGGTTATAGCTGGCCTGAAGGGCAGACATGTGTGGGATGAAGCAGGATACAGAAAAGATGACCCTTCTATAGGAAGGATATTATTAAATTGGAGGGGGTTCAGGAAAGATAGTTACTGGGACTGGAGGATTTGAGTTATAAAAAGGGGCTGGCACTCTTTTCACTAGAGCGTAGGAGGTTGAGGGATGATCTTATAGACATTTATAAGATCATGAGGGGAACAGATAAAGGTGAATAGCAAAAAGGTCTTTTCCCCAAAAGGTAGGGGAGTTCAAGAACAAAAACAGAAGTTACTGGAAAAGCTCAACATTTGTGAAGAAAAAAAAATATTAGAGTTAACGTTTCGGGTCTGCTGACCCTTCCTCAGAACCGGACCCAAAACGTTAACTGATTTTTCTCTTCACAGATGTTGAGCTTTTCCAGCAACTTCTGCTTTTGTTCCTGATTTACAGCATCTGTAGTGCTTTCAGTTTTTATTTAGGGGAGTTCAAAACCAGGGGAGCATATTTTTAAGGTGAGAGGAGGAAGAATTAAAAGAGGGACCTGAGGGGAAGCTTTTTCACAGAGGGTGGTTTGTATGTGGAATAAACTGCCAGGGGAAGTGGTAGATGCAGGTACAGTTACAGCATTTGAAAGATATTGGACAGGTACATGGATAGGAAAGGTTTAGGAGGATAATGGGCCAAGTGCAGGCAAATGGGACTAGTTTAGTTTGGGTAAACCTGGACAAGTTGGGCCAAAGGGTCTGTTTCTATACTGTATGACTCTAAACGCTCCAGTGTTTACCGCTAGCCAGGTTACAGATAGCCAGGATGACCTGCCTCACCAGCCTGTCCCAAACTCAGTGACCAGTAGGAATGGGAGCATCATCACATCGGAATCTCGGCTCTGAGAAATACTCTTATCACGTGGTTTGATGGCACTCAATGGGTCTAAGGCAGACTGGTTGGGGAGGAGACAAAGGCTTCGTCTTCAAAAGGACGACCAGTTATTACACATGAACACTGAATACTGCTGCACACTAATCATAGAGCTGATGTTTCTATCTTATCAGATCAGTTAAGGGCTGATTGATCTTCACTTGCTCATGTCTACGTGCTCTCAGGGCATCTTCCAGAGATTAGACAGCTCTGATAAAGCCTGCTGCTCCAGTTAGCTGGACAGTTTGTTTGTAATGCAGAGCGATGCCAACAGTCCAGGTTCAATTCCCCATCCCAGCCGACTTCACCACAAAGGCCCTGTGATCTCAACCTCACCCCTCACCAGAGGCATACTAACCCTCAGATTTAACTCCCCACCGGCCATCCATCACCCCTCTTAATGAGAGGGGGGAGCCTGTGGTATTCTTGGACAATGGTGACGTGCACTTCTCAATATTCTTCCAGAAAGTGCAAACTCCTCCCCCTCTGATATTTATACACAGTGATGTGCAGCTGTGACATCACTGCAAAGTCACTCCACGGTCCTACTCCCCTCGCACAACATTTAAGATAAATAAATAGACAGACAATACATGGCAATTCCAACATTGCCATGAAACGTATTCCTTGAACATATCTCCCCACTGCAGTAGCACTATGCCATGTGGACCACAACATTTCATGGAGGCAGCTCAGGGGGCAATTAAGGGAATGGGCAATAAACGTTGGACCTTGCCAGTGATCCCAAGAATCAAAATGTGAATGCAAACTTCAGTGAAAGGACACTGGTAAGCAAAGAAGAGGTTTACCTGTTTGTAAGCGGGTTTCACTCCAGGCATCAATACCCGATAGCGATCGACAAACTCCACAAAGGTGTAGCGAATGGGATAACCAGCCCGTCGGATCCGAATGGTCTCCATCATTCCCGAGTACCTCAGCTGGCGGACACACAGTTCCCGGTCAAATAACTGTCAGAGAACAAAAAAGGGAGAAACCAGCAGTGAACATGGGCAATGACGGGGAAAGCAGACAATGCAGTACAGATTAGGAAGACTCCCAGGTTGGACTCTTCTTCCCTATCATCAGCTATTTGAGACCAGGACATCACTCAGATTGCAGGTAGGGAATGGGGTGGAATGTACCCACAATCCCTCTGAACGAATGCTGAACCTATGACTCCTAGAGGGAAGGTTACATTTGGGAATGTCAGGTGACCCGATTGCAAACGTTCGAAAGGTCAAGAAACCTCACTCAGTGGGGAGGGGGTAGCGTAATGGTTATATGATTGGGCCAAATAATGCAGAAGCCCAGGTTCATGCTTTGGCAACACCGGTTCAGACCTCAACACAGGAGCTACAGAAATTTAATTGTTCAATCTGGAATTGAAAGTTAGTCTCAGTGATGGTGACCATGAAACCATCATTTGTCAGGGGAAAAAAAATCCCATCTGGCTCTCATGTCCCTAAGGGAAGGAAATCTGCCCTCCTTATTTGGTCTGGTATACATGTGACTCCAGATCCACAGCAACGTGAACCATAGAATCCCTATCGCGTGGGAGCAAACTATTTAGCCCATTGAATCCACACCGCGCCTCTGAAGAGCATCCCACTGAGACCCACCCCATCCAATAATCCCACATTTCCCATGGCCAATCCACCAAACCTGCATATCTTTGGACTGAGGGGGGAAACCAGAGCACCTGGAGGAATCCCAGACATAGGGAGAACGTGTCTATGTGGAGTTTGCAGTCACCCAAGGTTAGAATTGAAGCTGGGATCCTGGCACTGTCAGGCAACAGTGCTAACCGCTGAGCCACTATGTCACCCATTCTACAACACTCTGGCTTGCTAGGTCATTTCAATCCGTTCAAGGCAATCGAGGATAGGCAACAAATACTTTCCTTCCCAGCAACACCCAGATCCCACAAAATAGAGGCAAAGCTGCCCAAAATTCACTTAGGATAGCAACATCATTTGCCATGGAAACCTACATCGCATGCAGTCACCTGTAAGAGATGTGAAGATAGCTAGCTTGTTTATGGGGTGCACTTCCTGACCTCAATGTCCAACTTTACAGCCAAGTTATGACTTGGTCTCACCAACTGGATCTTTCATTCACAACCTTAAATCTGTGCTCCCACCCCAGACCAATGCCCCTGCTAGTGAAAACACTCTCGCCTCCACCGATCTCATTAAAACCCCTCGACCTAACGAGCCCATTCTGGGACAACATGGAAAATGCTAATAAACAAAAACAATAATATGCCAGGTCTGTCAAGGAAAGATTGGCAACAGATCAGCACATCCTCTAACAACCAAGGGCCAGTTGAGCATCTCTCATTGGGAACTGAGCAACACTGGAGAGGGGAGGTAAGATTGAGGAACACTCCCAGTGAAACTCTCAGATGAAAGGCAAGGCCAAAACTAAACCAGCTGGGTCTGGTTGACAGGAGAGATTTCAATAAACTGCCTGAAGAATACGGGTTTCCATGATGACCATTCCCAGAACTAGTGAATTAACTAGATTAACTTGGGGAAAGTTAACTAACCTCACTTCAAAACAAAAAGGATGTGGTCTTAACCTCTTGATCTGAATGGGAGGTCAAAGTGGAGGCTATGAGACCAATGCCCTACATCCCTCCCTCTCCTATAGGCTCAGTTAGCTGGACAGCTGGTGTGCAATGCAGAATGACGCCAGCAGCATGGAATTCGAGCCCAAGCCCAATTGAAGTCACCATGAACGACTCAACTTCTCCCCTCACCTCAGGCATGGTGTCCCTCGGGTTAAATCATCACTAGTTGTCTTGCCAGCCTGTAGACAACGTTGGCCTGCAGATCAAATGCTGCACCTCCCTATGGTCAGTCTAACACCCCAGGCTGATTTTCCCCTTCCCATCCACGGATGTGCCCCAAGCGGGATCAGAAATTATGGAAACATGGCCCATGCCATCAAGAAATCATCTCACTAAAACACCCACCTGCACACCCTGAGCTTACTGACCCAAGGACTGTGGGTCTCACGAACAGATCCATTAATCGCTCCTCCTTGCCTCCTGCACTCTTCACCTCCCCCCCTCTCCATTCCAGAATCCCCTTACAGCAGACAGAGATGATCTAGGAAATTTGCTTTCAGCGTGCTAGTTAGACAGGGTATACCCTCAGTTTAAACTCACTACCAGCTGACTCTCCGTGATGACAGCACAGCCCCATGGCCCTCTGGGAGTAGGGCAACTTTATCTTTATGATGGCATGAGATACCTCCACAGCCATTACAGCTCGGGGGGTGGAGAGATTTGAAACTTGGGACCCTCTGGCACAAATAGACAGACACTAACATTGTGCCACAAGTCCCTACAATAAAACGACAGAAATCAAACTGCTCACACACAAGCTGCACCTAGAGCGGGCGGGTTTCAAACCCAGGGCTTCCGACAAGATCACCTCACCAAGCTGGACGATTCTTCCAGTTTTATTATGACTACACCAGCCCCCAAGTTGGATATTATAAAGACACAATGCATTACATCTAGAATAGCAATTGTCGTCGTGAATTTTTACAAAAATTAAGTGAAAAGTTGGAAACCCCTCAATGTTAGGATCCCTTTTAACAACACACTGCTCCGTGAATGGTTAACTGAAGAAGGGTGCTGACCTGAAACATCAACTTTCCTGCTCCTCCGATGCTCCCTGGTCCGCTGTGTTCGTCCAGCTCCACACAACGTTGTCTCTAACACCAGCATCTGCAGTTCTTGCTATCTCTAACAATTTGTAAACATTTCTTTCCCCTCTCAAGCTCCTGTGCTGACAGCTGACTCCTTCCTTTGCTGGGCAGTGATTTAGCCTGTTATTTTGCTCAGATTGAGCCTGGCCTGGCCTGGCCTGACCTGACCCGACCCGACCGGCCATGCTTACCATCGACTTCTTGTACTCGTTGGGTTTGATGCAGCGGACGAAGAAAGGCTGGCAGACGCTGAGAGTTTTCATCAGCAGTTCCAGTGAACGTTTAAACTGGCTGCTGAGGGTTGGTGAGCGCTTCCTTGTCTCCGCTCCCTGGGAACAAACATAACAATGGAAATTAAAACACAGGAAGCAATGAACAGCCAAAGACACTTTCTTTTGGAGCAGTAGTGCTGCAGCCATTCGAGGGTCATCTCCATTAACCCCTGCTTGATCGTTAAAAATCTTCACTTCAAATTCTCTCGTCAAAAAGGAGGAAATAGCTTTCTGATGCAGTGAAAACAAGGACAGAATGCTTTATTTTGCAACAACTTGCATTTATATATCACCTTCAAATGGCATTAAATGCCTCTGGCTTACCTAACTAAAGAAAAGTGACAACAATAACCGTTAGAAAGAGGCCATTCACCCCATCGGGTCAGCACCAGCTGAATAACCTGGCCATCCATTCTGTCCCTTTCAAAGTGCCTGATCCATATCCTCACAGGTTCTGATGTTCCAAGGACCAACCCAGGTTTTTTCCTTTTCAACGCATTGAGGGTTTTTGCCTCAACCCCAAAACTGACCTGAGAATTCCAGACACTCATCCTCCGGTGAAGACATATTTTTCCCCTCCCTCTAATTCATCTACCAATCACCTTAAAATTTGTGCCACTTGGTAACTGACCTCTCTGCTAGGGGGAAGAGCAGTCCTCATTGACCACTCCATCCAAGCCCCTTGTTATCGTGTACCCCTCAGCCTCCTCCATTCTAAGGAGAGCAACCTTGCCCTATCCAATTGCTCCTTCAATTTTCAAGCCCTGGCGACATTCTTGTAACCTCCTCCGTACTCCCCCTCTCGTGAGCAAATTATATCCTTCCTGTAATGTGGTGACCAGAACACCAACTGTGGCTTACTATCTTCTATAGGTACAGCATTACACTCCAGCTCTTGTACACTAACTCAGCCAATGAAAGCATCCCATCCACCTTCGTTACCACCTTATCTACCTGCCCTGCCACCTTCACAGACCTGGGGACTTGGAATGCAAGATCTCACTTCCACTTCTCCCAATCCCCTCCCATTGGTGATGTATCCTCCTGTCTTTGCTTGCCCGCCCTATAAAGGGAACAGGATATAAAAGGAGATATTGGGGCACATGACCAAATATGTTTGGTCAAGGAGGTAGACTTTAGGGAATGTACCCTCTAAACAGGAGAGAGGCGCTATACAGGAAGAGAATTCCAGAACCTGATGTCTGGAAAGCTGAAGACAGGCTACAAAAGATGCAATGTAAACCAAACATATGCACGGAGCCAGCATTGGAGAAATGAGATCAGAGGATGGTGGTGTTTGAGGAGGTTACATAGTTCAGGAGGAGTGTGGTAAGAGGGGTTTAAACACGAGTGGCCATTTTGAAATGGAGCCATTTCTCAATGCAGCATTGTGAAGGAGCTCATCCGGGGTTATTTAACTTGAATAATGGTCTTCCTACACATTCTTCTCTCCTGTAGAGTTCACTGGCCTGAGCTATTGGACCAGGGTCACATTTTCAGACTTGGAGACCGCAAATCCGTGTGGATTCAGGCTGGATTCTCCACGACGTGGCTGTCTCTGCCCCTCAGAGGGGCCGTGAACTTTCTCAAATTCAACTCCAAAATGAAAAGGAGGCCTCACACATTTCCCACACCCCCACCCCAATGGTCATCATTCTGTCCAGCTTGTAGGGAAATTTTTTTTTTTTTTAAAATTTAAAAAAAAAGTGTTCTCTCCCCTCATTTTAGTTCTATCTATAAAAATATTGGGAGGTTTGAGGGATGGGGTGACAGGAACTGAGATGTTATAAAGAAAAAGAGGAACAGGAGGCAGCCATTCAGCCCCTCAAGCACGCTTTGCCGCTCAATGGGGTCATGGCTGATCCAACATTCCTCACATCCATTTTCCTGTAACTCTCGATTTCCTGACTAATCAAGCCTTAAAATGTGACACATACTGCATCTGGCAGGGGCAGATTGAAGCAACAGATTAGAAACAAACATCTGGAATACTGGGAGCAATGCCCACAACTTCTCAACCACATGTTTTAACAGATAAAAGATTCTACACAGTGCATTCCATGTCTCTGCAACAGGTCCCTGACATTTTCTACAGGAAGCAGGAAAGACAAACACTCCATTCCCCACCCCCATCAACTCCCGCTGAGCTCCCTGTGCTCATTTTCTCCACAGATCAACCCATAGGTCACGTATTACACAACTGAATTAACAAAGCTGGGTATAATTCTAGCAAATTTGCTCCAAGGACATACGGCTCGTATCAGTGTCTGACTGAGGACTGAGTGAAAAGGCTCCAATTGACAATGTTTCCATATCAGAGAGAGGGAGCAGACTGTCTGGGGTAGATGTGGGGAGGAGGCAGGGAGCATTAATTTCTCAATGCATATCGATCAGACGATCAACCAGCTGGTGGATCCCTTTTTTTAAAAAAAGGGCGCAAGTATGGGGTCAGTGCAAGAGGCAACCTCCTTGTGGCAGAACGAGGGGTGGGAGAGGCAGAGAGAGAAAAACAAAAACATCAGATTGCTTTTCCATGCAACCTGCCTCTGACAGGAAATAGCTACTTGTCAACCCAATGGGCAGAGCTGTGTTTTCAATTTGATCATGGGATGTGGGCATTGGCTTATTGCCTATCTCCAATTACACTCCAGGTGGGACTGCTGTCTACGTGGCATTGAGACAACCCAAAGTACCATTCATGAGGGAGTTCCACAATTGTGACCCAGTGACAGTGAAGGAATGGTAATGTATTTCCAGGTCAGCAGTGAGCAGCTTGCATGGGAACTTTTGGGGGTGGTGTTCCCATGTATCTGCTGCTGTTGGCCTTCTAGATGGGAGTGGTCATGATGCGCAGGTGCCAGTGTTGGACTGGGGTGGACAAGGTCAAAAATCACATGACACCAGGTTACAGTCCAACAGGTTTATTTGGAAACACTAGCTTTCAGAGCTCTGCTCCTTCCTCAGGTGTAGCGTGGTGATGGGTTTGGAAGATGCTAACGAGTCTTGAATTGCTTTAATGCATCTTGCAGATGACACTTATGCAGAATGGCAATAGTCTCGGAAGAAGTGAAGAGGGTGAATTGAAGGTAGTAGGTGCAGCGCTGCTGTGACCTGGAAGGTGTCAAGCTTGTGTTGTTGGGGCTGCATCCATCCAGGCAGGGAGTATTCCATCACACTCCTGACTCGTGCCTTGTGGATGGTGGACAGGCTTTGGTGAAGTCAGGTGGAGAGTTACTCACTGTAGTATTCCCAGCATCTGACCTGATCTTGTAGGTACTGTGTTTTTGTGTTGCTGGTTAATAGTAATCCCCAGGATGTAGCTAGTCAGTGATTCAGTCAATGTCAAGTGGAGATGGTTGGATTCCCTCTTGTTTACAATGGCTATTGCTTGGCACACAAGTGACATTCTCATCACATATCACCTTAGTCAGGATATTGTCTAAATGCGGCAAGAGCTGAGCACAGTGTCACATCAGAGGTGCTGAACATTGGCAATTACAGTCAACATCCCCACTTCTGACCACGTGATTGAAGGAAGCTCATTGATGAAGCAGCTGAAGTCTAGTTGGGCCGAGGGCACTACCCTGAGGATCTCCTGCAGAGATGTCCTGGAGCCGAGATGACGGACCTCCAACAACCACTACCATCTTCCTATGTGTCAGGAATGGCTCCAACCGCCAGAGAGTTTGCCCCCTAATACCCATTGATTCCAGTTTTGCTAGGCCTCCTTGATGCCACAATCTTAAATGCAGCCTTGATATCAAGGGCTGATACTCTCACCACACCTCGAATTCAGCTCTTTTGTCCATGTTTGAACCAAGGCTGTAATGAGGTCAGGAGCTGAGTGGCCCTGGCAGAACCCAAACTGGGCATCGCTGAGCAGGTGCTGCTTGATAGCACTGTTACTGACATCTTCCATCACTTTACTGATGATTGAGAGGAGACTGATGGAGCTGTAATTGACCAAGTTGATTTGCCCTGCTTTTTGTAGCCAGGGCATAACTGGGCAGTTTTTTGCATGGTCTGCCAGGTGTTGTGGCATACTGACACTGTTTAGCTTGGTGTGCAGCAAGTTCTGGAGCACAAGTCTTCAGTACTATTGCCGGAATGTTGCTAGGGCCCATAGCCTTTGCAGTCTCTGGTACCTCCAACCATTCCCTATCAAATGGGGTGATTAGAGTTGGACAAATGGACAGGGCCAAGGCACATCATCCACTCGGCACTTCTGGCTGAAGATTGCTGCGAATGCTTCAGCCTTATCTTTTGCACCGATGTGCTGGGCTCTTCCATCGAGGACGGGGATATTGTAGAGCCTTCTCCTCCAGTGAGTTAAATCATCCACCACCATTCTCTACTAGATGCAACATTTGGACCGCAAAGTTTGGAACTTCAGTTGGTTTTTGTCCTTCATTTGCTATGCATGCTGTTTGGTATGCAATTTCTCCTGTTTCACAGCTTCACCAGGTTGACCCCTCATTTTTAGCTATGCCTAATGCTGCTCCTGGTATGCACGCCTACAATCTCCATTGTACCAGGGCTGATCCCCTGGACTTGATGGGAATGGAGGAGTGGGAGATATGCTGGACCACAAGATTGCAGATTATAGCAGAATTGTATTCAACAGTTGGCCCACAGCACCTCATGGATGCCCAATCTCAAGCTGCTAGGTCTGATGATTGACGTATGTCCCATTTAGCATGGTGATAATACCACACAACACAATGTTGGACAGTCTCAACGTGAAGGCTGGACACCATCTTCAAGGACTGCAGGGGTACTCACTCTTACTGATGCAGTCACACATATAATCACTGTTTCTCACTGTCTCCAGGTACAAAACCTCAAATTCCCTTCCCAGTGGCATTTTGGGTCAACCTGCAGCACATGGATGGCAGCGGTTCAAGGAGGCAGCTCACCACCCCCTTCTCAAGGGCAACTAGGGGCAGGTAATAAATACTGGTCCAGTCGGTGACACACACATCCCATGTATGAATTTTTTTAAAAATACGGCAATCTTGCCTAGTGACTCTCAGCAACCTGGTCCCCTTTGACTCCCCACTGAATTGGCTTGAGCAAGCCACTCGGAATTGCACAAAAACCACTACCAACAATAGGCAGCCAACATAGACTAATCCATACCATCTTTCCCAGCGCCATTAGGAACAGGCAATAAACACCAACATTCCCACCTTCAGCTCATAGCTGAAGAATGAATTAAAAAATAGGATAATGGGTTGGCACATGCTCTATCCTCTAACATCATTGAACTGATCAAGTATTATCTTCCCTCAAGGTTACTGGTTGAACGGAGTTAAAAATATTGCAGAACAAGATAAATAACAATTAAATGCATCAAGAAAGTGGTATTTACCATGGCTACATCAGCCTGGAAGATCTGTTTGATGAACTTATTCTTGGAGGAGTGGACCAATTGAATGATGTCTCCATGAAGCGTGTCCCGATTTTTCTCCAAAAATCCTGACAAAAAACAAACACACAGGATCTGACGGAAAACGAGGTGACAGGACCATTGCAACAATGCTGGTGGGTCGAGTTTAATGCAGCTGATCATATGCTGCACTCCAATCAAGCAAAGAGCTACGGGTGGAGATCTGAACAAAAACATAGAAAATTGCTGGAGAAACTCAGCAGGCTTGGCAGCATCTGTGGAGAGTTAGCTCTTCCAGTCAGTGTAAAGGCAAAAAAAAAAAAAAAAAAGTTTTATTTAGAGAGGCATCATGTGTTGGCAGAGTCTTGGTGGGCCAAAGGGCCTGTGCCTACACTGTTCCTTATTCTTCTTGTCCACGTGACTGTAGTGTTCTGATGAAGAGGCCTCAATGTTAACTGTTCTCTCCACAGTTGCTGCTGGACCTGCTGAGCAATTTCTGTTGTGTTGGTCATGTTCTACTTTTGAGATGAGTCAGTTATTTAAGGGGAAAGCCAGTGTTGGATTAGAACCTGACTCCTGGACCTCTTCCATCAGAAGGCTCCAAATGCATATCTTTAAAACATGCAAAGGCAAACATGCAATAGCACGATGACTGAAGAACGAGCTTATCAAATCTGATCAAAAATTGCTCAGTTCATTCTGGTCATCAGTTATGGCATGATCACATTACTATTGTTATAAGCCCAGATGACAGTAATATTGGACAAGTCAGATCCCAGAGGGAAAGACACCATAACTTTTATTTTTACTTTTCATTTACAGCAGTCACTGAACGTATTCAGAAGAGGCTGCTAGTGTACTTTTAACAAAAGAACACAAGGCAATTATTACATGCAAAAGAGAAAACCAGGATTAATACAAATATCAGAAAGATAGATTCAGCTCTATTATTCTCCATGACAACCCTATAGACACTCAAGTATAAGATCTGTCACCCGATTCCATGCTAAAGCTGCCTATCCAATAAGCATAGCTATAACTGGTTCCCTTTACAGCAATATTATATCCATTCACATTTATTCCCCCCCACCAATTAGTGTTTCTTCTGGAGACCCTGAAACAAGCTGCTAACTCAGCTCACTTACTACATACTTGACATATGCTTCCTTTAAACTTAGGTCTTCAATAGCCTTGTAGGACTGTCTTCCTTTCTGGATACCTCAGCAACCTTCCTGAATTCTGAACCACTCATCTCATTCCAGACTGCTTGTAGACTGATGTTACTGAAAACACCTCTTCTATCAGGGATCTCATCTCTTTGAACAAGCATGCAAACTCCCCTGACTTTATTTTAGTAGAATTTTGTGCCCAATGAACAGCTGTTTATTTTCTCTATGTAATGCTTTCCTGATGCACAGAGCTATTCACCTCAAGTGTTTAAAGACCTCATTTAAATATATATGTAAACAAAACAAAACTGCAGATACGCCATTACTATTCTCTAATGAAACTGGCTTCCGTTTTCTAATGCAAAATTAAGATAGAATTTCAACTTAAAGCTATATATTATTTTTCCATTTTAAATTCCAAGTTCCAAAGCAATAATATTGTAAATCTTCATCACACTGTTGTTCCACATCCAAGAAAACTGACGTTTGAAAATCCTAGACCTTATAATACATGAAAGCCTAGATATGCAGGAAAAGAAGTGCCTGGTACTTTTATGGCAACTTTGAAGGAGCATGCAATTACCCAAAGCACCTTACTGTCAGTGAAGTCTCTCTGAAGCGAAGTCACTGTCATAACGTAGGATACGCTAACTAATTAGCACAGGGCAAGCTACCACAAACTAAACAATTGGCCAAATAATTTGCTTGTGACAAAAACAAATTGCAGGAAAAACTCAGCAGGTCAGAGGAAGGGTCACTCAATCTGAAACGTTAAATGATTTCTCTCCAGACGCTGCCAGACCTGCTGACCTTTGCCAGCAATTTTGGTCTTTTGTTTCTGATTTACAACATCTGCAGTTCTTTCCATTTTCATTTAGAATTTGCTTGTGATATTGAGAGGGTGTGGATATTGGCCAGAGCCCTAGGCAGAATATCTCTGTTCATCTTCAATGTAATAATATGGTGTAGTTACACAACAGAGACTGCAGGGATTTAGCTACCAGTATAGACGTTATGGACCAAACAGTCTACAAATCTGTGCTTTTCGATTCTTGCATTGGAATACTATTAGAGAACTACATTTTCTCCTGCTCCAAACATCCTTTTCATCTTCTATTCACAATTTGCAAATAGTTTCTTCTCCCCAACCAAATGTTAAACCAGAGAAGTCAGTGAGATTGAGAGATAACATGCAACACTTAAATGGGCTTAGGAGAGTCTAAACAGCACAGGGCTGAGTGCTTCCAGAGTCCAGTTTCCAACAGTTGGCCATTATATTCAATGCAGAAACCTACCTCTGGTTTCATAGTAAACGACTCCAGCAAAATGGCTGATGCCAAACTGGGTTTCATAGTTGTTCTTTGGAGGGATATAGTAGGTGTTCAGCTTGTGTTGAGAATTCAGCTTGTTCAACATTGTCGTGTCTGTACCCTGTCGGGAGATAGGATTGTAAAAGAATGGAGACTCAAAAGAAACATTACAAAAGGTAAAGATAGCTCAGCACCTGAAAAGATCGTGAGAACTGCCGATGCTGGAGTCAGAGATAATACAGTGTGAAGCTGGAGAAACACAGCAGGCCAGGCAGCAAAGTTGACATTTTGGGTCAGGACCCTTCTTCAGAAATGATTTTGTTGAGTTCGGTTTTTAAACCATGGAGGTCTCCTCCTCAACTTCACCTGGGGTGTGGTAACCCTCACATTAAACCACCAGTGTTTCTCTCTAATGAGGGGGAGCCCTGTGGTCTGGTAAGGCTATGGTGGCTATACTGTTAACTCTAGTACAGCGGCTGCCAACCTTTCGATATCAAGGCGCATTTCAATGAGACAAACAATTCCATTGCATTTTTCTCAGAAATATATAGAAGGCATGGCCAGTAACTTGACAGTTGACACCAAAATTGATAGTGTGGTGGACAGTGAAAGCAGCTAAGATTACAAAGAGATCTTGATCAATTGAGCCAATGGGCTGAGGAGTGGCAGATGCAGTTTAATTTGGATAAATGCAAGGTATTGTATTTTGGTTAAACAAAGGTAGGACTTATACAATGAATGGTAGGGCCCTGGGTAGCATTGTAGAAGAGACACCCAGAGGTTCAGGTACATAATCCTTTGAAGTTTGCATCACATGTAGACAAGGTGGTTACAAAGCATTTAGCACGCTTGCCTTCCTTGCTCAGACCTTTGAGTATAGGAGTTGTCATGTCATGTTGAGATGTACAGGGTGTTGGTGATGCCTCTTCTAGACTACTGTGTCCAGTTCTGGTTGCCCTGGTATAGGAAGGATATTATTAAGCTGGAGAGGGATCAGAAGAGATTTACTGGGCTGTTGCCGAGAACAGAGGGCAAGTTGTGGGGAGAAGCTGCGACTTCTTTCACTGGAGCATAGGAGGTCGAGGGGTGACCTTATTAAAAGTTTACAAAAATCAGGAGGGGCATAGGTAAGGTGAATGGAAGCAATTTTTCCCTAGGGTGGAGGATTTCAAGACGAGGGGCATATTTTGACAACGAGAGGAAAAAAAAAAGATTAAAAAAGGCATGGGGGCAAGTTTTTTTTTCAGCAAATTAAACAGTGGCTCATGTGTGGAATAAGCTTCCAGAGGAAGTGGTGGATGTGGGTAGAGTTACAATGTTTAAAAGACTTTTGGATAAGTGCATGAATAAGGAACGCTGGAGGGTTATGGGCCAAATGCAGGCAGGTGGGACAAGTTTAATCCAATGATTAACAGGGACTGGTTGGACCGAAGGGTCCGTTTCCGTGCTGTATGAATATGATCCTGACTCCAGCTGAATGAATTGCTCAGAAGTGTTACACTTAGTACGATTACAGTCTTACTAGAGAGAGGTTTACGACAACGCAGACAGAATGGAAACACTGATACTTCCACTTTTAATTTAACGATTGATTTTCATTAGCTTTAGGAAGTGTAATTTTGCTTGGCAAAAATATTGTTTAAGATGAAACCAGTGTTTGTTTTACAATGAGACAACAAGGTGCAGGGTTGGATGAACACAGCAGGCCAAGCAGCATCATAGGAGCAGAGAGGCTGACGTTTGGGGCCTAGACCCTTCATCAGAAAAGGGGGAGGGGAAGGGCGTTCTGAAATAAATAGGGAGAGAGGGGGAGGCGGATAGAAGAGGGATAGAGGAGAGGATAGGTGGAGAGGAAACAGACAGGTCGAAGAGGCGGGGATGGAGCCAGTAGAGGTGAGGAGTTAGGGAGGGGATAGGTCAGTCCAGGGAGGACGGACAGGTCAAGGGGGCGGGATGAGGTTGGTCGGTAGGAGATGGAGGTGCAGCTTGGAGGTGGGAGGAGGGGATAGGTGGGAGGAAGAACAGGTTAGGGAGGCGGGGACGAGCTGGACTGGTTTTGGGATGTGGTAGGGGGAGGAGAGATTTTGAAGCTTGGTGAAATCCACATTGATACCATTGGGCTGCAGGGTTCCCAAGTGGTTACATGGAACAATCCCTCTTCCGTACCTACACCGGCCCTAAACCCCACCTCTTCCTCCATTACATTGATGACTGTATCAGCGCCGCCTCGTGCTCCCACGAGGAGCTCGAACAGTTCATCCACTTCACCAAACACCTTCCACCCCAACCTTAAGTTTACCTGGACCATCTCTAATACCTCTCTCCCCTTCCTGGACCTCTGTCTCCATCTTGGGCAACCACCTAGAAACCGATATTCATTTCAAGCCCACCAACTCCCACAGCTACCTAGAATACTCCTCCTCCCACCCACCTTCCTGCAAAAATGCTATCCCCTATTCCCAATTCCTTTGCTTCCGCCGCATCTGCTCCCAGGATGAGGCATTCCACTCCCGTACATCTCAGTTGTCCTCGTTTTTCAAGGACTGCAACTCCCCCCCCCCCACTCAGTGGTCAAGAACGCCCTCAACTGTGTCTCCCACATCTCTCGCAACTCATCCCTTACACCCCGTCCACACAATACGAACCAAAAAAGAATTCCCCTCGTCCTCACGTACCACTCCACCAACCTCCGGATCCAACGCATCATTCTCCGACACTTCCGCCATCTGCAATCCGACCCCACCACCAAAGACATCTTTCCCTCCCCACCCTTATCTGCTTTCCGGTGGGACCACTCTCTCCGTGACTCCCTTGTCCGCTCCACACTCCCCTCCAGCCCCACCACACCTGGCACTTTTCCCTGCAACCCCCCCTGCCCCCCATACCTCCTCCCTCAGCCCCATCCCAGGCCCCAAGAAGACTTTCCACATCAAGCAGATGTTCACCTGCACATCTGCCAATGTGGTATACTGCATCCGCTGTACCCGGTGTGGCTTCCTCTACAATCGGGGAAACCAAGCGGAGGCTCGGGGACCGCTTTGCAGAACACCTACGCTCGGTTCACAATAAACTGCACCTCCCAGTCGCGAACCATTTCAACTCCCCCTCCCATTCCTCAGATGACATGTCCATCCTGGGCCTCCTGCAGTGCCACAACGATGCCACCCGAAGGTTGCAGGAACAGCAACTCATATTCCGCTTGGGAACCCTGCAGCCCAATGGTATCAATGTGGATTTCACAAGCTTCAAAATCTCCCCTCCAAATTGATCCAGTCTCTTCATAGAACCCCTACAGAGTGAAAGCAGACCATTTCACCCATCGAGCCCACATCGCCGCCTGCAAACCCCCCACATAAGAGTATCCTATGGAGAACCACCTCCTAGTCGCTTTAACCCTGCATTTCCCATGGCTAATCCATCCAGTCTGCACATCCCTGGACACAATTGGCCACACTAAAATTGCCCATCCACCTAGCCTGCACATCTTTGGATTTGGGGAGGGAACCAGAACACGGGGAGGGAACCCCACGCAGACACGGAGAACGTGCAAACTTCTCACAGACTGTCGCCCGAGGGTGGAATTGAACTCGGGTCCCCTGGCGCTGTGAGGCAGCAGTGCTAATCACTGAGCCACCGTGCCATCCCCACACAAGTCAGTCCTGCCAACTCAGGAATCAGTCTGGTTATTATGCACTTTGAAGGAGTGGGCCAGTGGCAGAATTGCCCAAAAAAAGTCACAATTGATGGAAGTGATGAATTTAATGAAAACTGACCCGAAGCCAAATGCCTGACAACACTGCCCCACCTCAGTTTCTATCCAGCTAGTTCGATTTACGTAAAATCCAGCACCTTGGGGGAAGATCCATACCTTGGGGAACTTGCTCTCTTCGTCAATGAGGGAAATGATGTTCATGGGCTTCAGTGCTATCATGTCAAGTGCATCCTGGTTATCAGTGAACTCAATGTGTTGCCAGTTGATATTCTCCAGGTTGTATTCCTCTTGCTCCAGCTTGAAGACATGGCGGACGAAAAACTGCTGCAGGTTTTCATTGGCGAAGTTGATACAGAGCTGCTCAAAGCTACAGCAAAGGAGAAGATGATTAAAACACCAAAAAGGGCAGAAGACAATGGGTGTCTATACAGACCCACAAAACAGTGATAAATGTTGGGGAAAGCATTAAAACAGGAAATTAGAGACACAAGAAATCAAGATGGGCAGGTGCCAGTGTTGGACTGGGGAGGACAAAGTCAGACGTCACACGTCAGGTTATAGTCCAACAGGTTTATTTGAAAACAAGTTTTCGGAGTGCTACCCCTTCACCTTGACGACAGCTTGTTATTTCAAATAAACCTGTTGGACTATAACATGGTATTGAGAGACTTCTGACAAGAAATCACAATACAGCTGTAATTATAATTGACTTCAATCTGCATTTTTTAAAAATTCATTCACGGGATATGGGAGTGACTGGCTAGGCCAGCATAAATTGCCTGTCCTTATTTGCCCAGAGGGCAGTTCAGAGTCAACCACATTGCTGTGGGTCTGGAGACACATGTAGGCCAGACCAGGTAAGGATGGCAGTTTCCTTCCTTAAAAGGACATTAGATGGGTTTTTCCTGACAAAAATCGACAATGGAACATGGTCATCCTAGACTCAGATTTTGCTTTTACAAAGTGAATTCCAATTTCACTATCTGCCATGGTGAGATTTGAACTTAGATCCACAGAACATCATCTTGGTCTCTGAATTAACAGGGATAATACCACCAGGCCATTGTTTCGTAGATTAGGAAAACCAAAATCAGTAACAATTCCACAGAAAAAGAATTCCTGGAGTGTGCACAGGATGATTTTCTGGATCAATACTTTGAGCAGCAAACTAGAGAACAGGCCATTGTAGACTGGATATTGTGTAATGGGAAGGGAATAATTAGTAATCTAGTTGTGTAAACCTCTTTGGGGAAGTGTGACTATAATACAACAGAATTCCACATTAAAGTTAGAAAATAAACAATTGATTTTGAGATTAAGGCTCTGAATGGAAATAAAAGGAAACGACAATGATTCAAGGCATGAGCTGACTGATGATTGCAGGAATTTTATTTTTAGAAATAAACATTGATCATGGAAAGAAAGTGAAGTAAATAAAGGAACTACAACAGTTTTCATTCCTGTCTTGTACAAAAGTAAGATGGAAAAGGTGACTCGATCATGGCTAACAAAAGAAATGATTAGTATTAGATCCAAAAAGGAAGGGACGTACAAATTTGTATACCCACAACCTCCTTCCCCCCCACCCAAATGAAAAGCAGATGAGAGGGTTAGGAGCAGTCTAGACGTTAGCACAGCAGGACAAAAGGATTGTTGAAGATGGAGTGTAAAGGTAAGCTGGCAGGAAATGCACAAACTGATTGTAAAAGCTTCTATAGGTAGGTGAAGAGAAAATAGATTAGTGAAGAAAAGTGTAGTGCCCTTGCAGTTAGAGGGTTAGAATGGGAAACAAAATGATTACAGACTGAAACAACTGCTCAGAGGCTGGTATCCCATCACCAAGTCACCTTTTATTTACATATGCACAATACATGGGCTGTGACCAGCCAGTTCAGAGCCAGTCCCTAGACTGAGGAGACCTTCTGAATCTCCTGTTTATATCTGTCAGCCAGGGCTCTCCGATTGGGGCTGTTAATCTGGGCCAATCTGGTCAAATGAGATCACTTGGCCCTGTTTCCAATCACTACACAGAACAAATAAGTAAACACATTTGGTTCGGTTGTCATGAAGGAGGACACAAATAACATTAAGATATTGAGGAATACATGGTTTAGTGACAGTACTTAACTGTAATGAGAAGCCACAAATGCGTTATGGAAATAAAGGAAGGGATTACATAGCAATGGTAAAAAAAGAGTTGGGGGCGCAGATCAGCCTCAGCCTAATTGATTGAGGGAATAGGTTTGAGGGGCTGCATGGCTTCTTTCTGTTCCTAATGCTGGAAACAAACTGCAGTCAATATTTCACATATTACCACCCCATTAACCAAGTCATCAACATCTCATACTTGACACAGTGAAAGAAGCTGCTCCTCAAAGTCAATGCCATGGATGTAGGAACGTACAGGACCAGAACAGACGCTGTTCTGTCTTACCTATTAACGTGGAAGTTTTCAAATCCAAAAATATCCAGCAAGCCGATTGACCGGCGCCACACCTTTGGCTCTCGAGACGGTGGTTTATAAATCGCTGCATTTATCTTCTCCACAATCCACACAAAGAGCCTCCCATAGATACCCTTAACGACGAGAGAGAGGGAGAGGCAAAACACATGGTCCACATCGGATCAAAAAAAAAAGGTGAGATATGGCAATTCTTTGATCTCCGAATGATTCAGAATCTCCCCCCTTCTCCAAAAGAAAAAAAAACAAACAACACAGCTGGAACGAGACACTCAGAATATCACCAACAGGCTGAATACTCTCATCCTCTTGTCCCGAAAGTCAGTGGGCATCCACTCAGAATGCAGAATGAGTGGCCATTTGGCCCATCCTGCCTGCTCCAGCTCTTCAAATGAGTCCCATTACCTTGTGCCAATCTCCTGCTTATACTCTGTACTCTTGTGGAAGGAAATGAAATGAGATTCACAAAAAACAAAGCCTGCAAATGGGCCGTTGGCTAAAGAATTTAAATTCAAGTTGTCTGTCCTGTTCAGTTCCATATGATCCTCAGCAAACTGCCACAAAAAAAGTGAGTAAGTGAGTTCATGTTGGTGCTGGCAAGATAAAAACATCATTCACAACAATCAGGTACTAATGCAGAGGCACTTACACACAGCACATCTAAGGAAAGAACTGACAAATGGGGTTTGAATTCCTAATTCTCCCTCCACCCTCCAATCACCCAGATCATCATCTTCTGTAACAATGTCAGAAAATCCAGAGCAAGGCTACCAGAGCCTGCCGAGTCATCTGCAGGAACTACCACACAGAGCACTTACAATTGATTATTAATTATGGAACAGGACAATAAAAGGACAAAGAGCAGAGTTGGGGAAGAAGAACTGCACTAACAACCACTCTTCAAAAGTAATGGCTCAGAAGCTGAGTTGATGGGCCTTCTTCTGCGCTATAATATTTTGACTGTCTTGCCTATTTTTCTGCTTCAGTATATTCTTTTATTCAAAAGAATCTGAATAACTGTTTTACCTGTAGGCAATGGTGTTTATTACGAGGACATGTTGTGACAGGCATCCCATGTCAATTACTATGAGCAAATAACCATGCAGTTGGGCTACAGGGACATTGTTGATAATATTCTGAGATCCAACAAACAAAACAATGCTGGTTTCTGTTCAACGAAAACAGAAACTAATATCAGGAAAATTATTATTTTATATATTAATTCAAGTGAAAGTCTGGAAGTAGTCCAAACTATAGTATGGTCACAAACGAAGAAGTCTTCAAAGAATTTAGGTAAAACATTAAAAAAAACTAAAGTTACAAAATTAAACTCTTGCTATCATCCCTTCTATAACACAAGGAGTTAGATACTGCTCCTAGAGCTAAAGGGATCAAAGTGTATGGGGATAAATTGGGAACAGGGGATTGAGCTGGATGATCAGCCATGTTTATTTGAATAGCAGAACAGGCTCAAAGGGCTGAATGGCCTCCTGTTCCTGATGCTGCTCCAATTCTCTTGTTTCTGTGTTTATCTATAAACTAAACTATCTTACCCCCTCTGTTCCACTGGGTCCCACTTATCTCAAATATTTCAGCTAAAACAAAACCAAATTAAAGGGAGTTAGGTTGGACCATTTATTCAGTGTTTCATTCCATTAATAGAAATCCAAAGCAAAAACAAAAAAAATCTGCTAGAAACACTCAGCAGGTCAGGCAGCTGTGGAGAGAATAAAAATATTTCAGATGTGACTTTTTACAAAGCAAGACTCTGATACCACTGAACATTCACTCCCTCCAGCACCGACACTCTGCAGCAGGGTGTACTACAGTAACACTCCTACTCCTTAAACAGCACCTTCCAAACACTCAACCACTTCCACCTAGAAGAACGGAGGGCAGCAGATACATGGAATACCACCAGCTTCAAGTTCCCCTTTAAGCCACTCACCATCCTGACTTGGAAATATATTGTTGTTCCTTCAGTGTCACTGGGTCAAAATAATGAGATTTGCTCCCTAATAGTATTTTCACTAGACTTTGAGTTCAGAGACCCAAGCAATGTCCTGGGGGTCCAGAACAGTGGTGTTTGACATGGTCCGAGTGCTTCCCTACATGCCAGCTCACAACATGTGCCACATAACCGTGTTCTTGATGAAACAGATGTCTTGAAGTTTACTTACACTGTTTACCCTGAAAGTTCTCAGACCTAGGTACAGTATAGGTTCTGTGCTAAGAGATTATGACTGTTACAGATACCTGGTTGACTGAACACACTAGTGACTATTGCACTGAATGGGGAGTAACTGAAAGTGAGGGCCTTTAAAGGTCCTATGTCAAGATGTCATGCAACTGTCTTCGAGGTCCACTGCCTGTCTAGTTTGGAATCTACACAAGAAAGGCTCCAGCAATTGAACCCGTTGCTGTCTGAGGCTAAAACCATGGAAGAGATTTGATACTGCAAGTGTGAAATCAGAATTTCACAGGACAGGAAGCCATTCAATCCATCATGTCTGTGCCAGCTCCCAAAAAGAGCTACCCAGCTAGTCCCCATCTCTGTGGCCCTCTCAATCCATCACTTTTAAATATATCCAGCTTTTTTTTTTTTTTTTTGAGATCTTCTATAGAATCCACCTTCGCCAATCTCTCCAGGCAGCACATTCCAAATCCTAACAATTTTGAATAAAGAAATTTCTCACCACCTCACTCCTAGCACTCTCTTGGACAATCTTCATGAAGAGATTAAATATCAAGCATCTGCCAACTTGTTGCATCACGAGATGCTGTTAAATGCTTTGTCATTCCAAATTGTCCCTCATTCTCAGAGGGAAAGACATTCTCTCCCTCTGGTTCAAGTTCATGCAGCAAGTAAATCTCACCTTCACAAAAGCATCTCGGACATCTAGCGCTTGGTCCACATTAAGAGGGGTGGACACTGTTTCCCCTCGTGTTATAATGGTACGGCTGGTGAGGCAGTTCTGCAGGTCCAAACAGTCAACCTGCAGGAAAGAGGCACGAGGCTAGTTAACACATTACAAACATCCACTGAAGTCATCATTTGTTTAAATGTTCCCAGGATAAGATAGGCAAGTGCCTGTCCCACAGCAAGATACCGAGTACATAGGAGTTCTGAAGATCGAGAGGGGATTGAATCGAGGCATTCAAAAGATTTTAAAATGGGATCGACAGGGTAAACCAAGAGATTTTTCTGACAAGGAGAAACATCCAAAACATGGGCAGGGGCTGGAGCTGCAGGGAATTTTTTTTTTTTTAAAAAACTCAAATAGCAAGGGCCTTCAGAATTCTCTACCCCATAGGATTGTGAATGCTTCAGCCTTGAATACATTTCATAGAAAATCAGATTCGCTACAGTGTGGAAGTGTGCTGTTGGCCCATTGAGTCCACAATAACCCTCTGAAGAGCATACCAGCCAGACCCTTGCGCCTATCCAATTCGTGTAACCTTGCATTTCCCCTAACCCACCTAGCCTGCACATCCCTGGATATGATGGGTTAGTTCCTGTGGTCAATCCACCTAACCTGCACATTTTTAGACTGTGGGAGGAAACTGGAGCACCTGGAAGAAACCCACGCAGACACAAGTAAATGTGCAACCTCCACACAGACAGTTGCCCAAGGGCCCCTGGCTCAGTGGTTAGCACTGCTGCCTCACAAAGATAGATAGCGGTTTGATCTCTCAGGGAATTGAGGGATGGAGGAATGGACAGGAAAGTGGACTTGAAGCCTAAGTATTGAATGGAGGAGCATGCTCAATAGGCCAAACAGTCTAAACTTGCCGTCTTGTGTTCTTGTTGATCTTAGTGGAAATGAGATCTCATTCATTTAAAACAACGTCCAAGAGACAAAGGAAAGTGCAGTCATACTTTTCAAATGGGAAAAAGGATAGATGATAAATAATAAATACACAATCTTCAAATCATTGCTCTGTGGGTCACACAATCATCTCAGAAACAGAAGGGCTTAGGGCTAGAGTCCCATTCCACAGACTCGAGCCAAACATCTGGACATTCTTACAGCACAGTACTGAAGGAGTGCTATGCTGTCAGATGAGTAATGGTTTGGAAGAGACATTAAATAGAGGGCCACTCCCTCAGATGAATGCAAGAGATTCCCAGGGACAATTCAAAACAAGAACTCTCGCTCTGCAGTTTCCTGGCCAATATCGATGCCTCAAATCAGTAAAAATATTTCTTGCTCATTCTCACATTGGGATCTTGCTGTGCACAAATAAAAAGCTACACTTCTGAAAGGGAGGGGGGAAAAATAACCACTTGGATTTTAAAAAAAAAAACTCCTTTCAAAACCTTCGAACATCCCAAAACACTTGACTGACTCTCAATTATCTTTGAAACGCAGTCATGATTGTTATATGGTAAAAGTAATGGCTAATTTGCCCACAGTAAGCTCCCAATGTGGGTTTGTCCAGATAATCCATTTTTAATGATGTCAATTGAGCCTGGGAATAGCCAGACTTGAAAAATAACTATGGAGGACAAAGAAAACTACACCATTTAGTGGTTTTGTCAGGTTGTTTTAGTAAATTAAATAGGAATTGATATGAAAACAAAAAAATTGTCAGAAATGGTGCAAACTGGGGACTGAGCATTTGAAAATAATTTGGGAGATTAGGAAGGAAAATTAGATGGTCTTCGTTGCAAGATTTGAGCACATGAGCAAGATTTTACTAAAGCTGTACAGGGCCTTGCTGAGACCACACCTGGAGCAGTGTGTGAATGGAGGGAGGGTGTGTGGTATTCTCACTGATTCAACAGTCTAGAGACCCACAGTGTTCTGGGGACCTGGTTTCAAATCCTGTCATGGCAGATGGTGGAATTTGAATTCAATAAATATCTGGAGTCTAATAATGACCATGAATGCATTTCCAATTGGTTAGAAAAACCCATCTGGTTTATTAATGCCCTTTAGGGAAGGAAATCTGCCATCTTTACCTGGTCTGGTCTACATGCGACTTCAGACCCACAGCAATGTGGTTGACTCTGAACTGCCCTCTGGGTAGTAAGGACACCCACATCCTGAGAAGGAATTTTTTTAAAAAAAGTTGACGTCCTTAAAGGTATTCTCGTGATAGCGAGGTGCAGCAAAGGCATGAACCCGGTAAACCTAGGATGGTAGGTGTGCCAAATGGAGAGAGAGAGCCAATGGGTCTGGATTGACTGAAGTTTCGTAGAATGACCAGGATCTCACCTAAAACGAATAAAATTTCAACAGGACCAATATGGCAGACTGGATATGTCCTCTGCCTGGGTTTATCTAGAGCAAGAGGGTTCTCAGGATACAGGGTGGACCATATTGGAATGGGATGAAAAGAAATCACTTCACTCAGTTTTCTAACACGCAAGGCAGTGGAGGCCAAGTTACTGAATATGCTTAAGAAAGGGGTTGATTTCAACACACTAAAAAGGTGTCAAGGGTATGGGGGAGTATGGCATGGAGACAGGGGATAAGCCATGATCAAGTTAAATGGCTGAATAGGCTCAAATGGACTGAAAAGCCTACTCCTGCTCCTTGGATTCTATGGACTCCTCCTGAATCAATGTTATTAGAAGAAGCTCGAATCAAGGAGCATGGTGTGACTGGAGGTGCTATTAGGACAAAGTGAATTTTGAATCAGTGTTGAAGAAAACAAGCTGAAAATACAAAAACAAATTTGCTGGAAAAGCTCAGCAGGTCTGGCAGCATCTGTGGAGGAGAAAACAGAGTTAACATTTCGGGTCCGGTGACCCTTCCTCAGAACTGATGGTGGTTGGGAAAAATGTCAGTTTATATGCAGAAAATAGGGAGGTGCGTGGGGTAGGGAGTAAACGATAGGATAGAGCCCAAAGAGAGAGAAAGACAGTTGGACAGACAAAGGAGTTGCTAACGATCAGGCTGGGAGGGTGAATAGTTGTTAATGGGGACTGTTAGTGACTAACAACAGGGGGTGTGTAATGGCAGGCTATGTGGTAACAAGGCCTGGTGTGTGGGGTGGGGGGGGGCGCTGGGACATGGGAGAGTTTAGGCCCTAAAATTATCGAACTCAATAACAGAGTCCGGAGGGCTGTAGGATCCCCAAGTGGAAAATGAGGCGTTGTTCCTCCAGTTTTGCTTGCTGCAGTGTTCCAGCGAAGCCCAACGCAGAGACAGATGTTGGCCAGGGAGCAGGGTGGTGCATTGAAGTGGCAGGCAACAGGTAGTTCAGGGTCTTTTTTGCGAGCAGAACGTAGATGTTCTGCAAAGCGATCGCCAAGTCTAAGCTTAGTTTCCCCAATGTAGAGGAGACCACATTGTGAGCAGCGAATGCAGTAGACTAGATTCTTGGAAGTTCAGGTGAAGTGTTGCTTCACCTGGAAGGTATGTTTGGGCCCTTGGATACTAGGGAGGGAGGAGGTAAATGGGCAGGTGCCACCTACAGGGGAAGGTGCCGTAGGGCTGTGGGGAGGTGTAGGGGGTGGAGGAAGTGTGGACCAGGGTGCCTGCGGAAGGCAGACAAGGGAGGGGAGGGGAATGTGTCTGGTGGTGGCATCTTGCTGGAGGTGGCGGAAATGGCGTCTGATGATCAATATCACTTGTATTTTCAATTTAACACAGTGTGGAGCTGGAAATACATTTCTGAAGGGTCCCGACCCAAAACATCAGCTTTCCTGTTCCTCTGATGCTGCCTGGCCTGCTGAGTTCCTCCAGCTCCACACTGTTTAAAAACTCAAAATACAAGTGGTTTTGGACACAGATCACTTGCGTTTACTACTTCCCTCCCCAGCATTTCACAGTGGTTCGAACAATTTTTCTACAGAGCATGCTGATGTTATCAAATGGAGCCAGAGAATGTTTTCTATTAGAGAGCTGTATTGTTTTTGAATAGACATAGACAAAATGACATTGAGGTAAAGTTAAAAAAACATATTCACCTCGAGGAGAGTAGCAGCAGACATCAGGTGTGGGGAGTAGACAACCTCACACGAATCCAAATTGTCATACATGCGAGCTGAAGGATCAGCAGGATAAACAAAAAGTAAATTATCTCAATTGCAATTTGAATAAACATCTAATTTCCTTGCTTGTTATACCAGGAGGCTAAACACAAGGATCCCAGCTGCGCTACAATTACAAGATGCTGAACCATACTGCCAGTAATATGCATAATACACGTAGGTGCATCTAGTGACAACAGAACTTTCAAGCAGGCAGTTAAAACTTATTTATTTATGGATATGGGTGGTTGGTGGCTGGCCAGCCTGTAGGACCCACTCCCAGCTGTCCTTGAGATGGTGGTGAACAGCCTTCCTGAACCCCTGCAATCCACCTGCTGTCGGTAGACGCACAATTCCCTTAGGGAGGGAATTCCAGGATTCTCACCCAGCGACACTGATGGAACTATGATTGGTTTCCAAATCAGGCCGAGTGTGGCTTGGAGGGGAAACTTATGAGGAGCTGGTGTTTCCATATATTTGCTGCCCTTTGAAGTGGTCGTGGGTTTGGAAGGTGCTGTCTGAGGATCTCTGGTGAATTCCTGCAGTGCATCTTGTAGACAGTACACGCTGCAGCTACTGAGTGTCGGTGGTGGAGGAAGTGGATGTTTTGTGGATGTGGTGACAATCAAGTGGGCTGCTTTGTCCTGGATGGTGTCAAGCTTCTTGAGTGTTGTTGGGGCTGCACTCATCCAGGCAAGTGGGGAGTATTCCATCACACTCCTGACTTGTGCCTTGTAGATGGTGGGACAGGCTTTGGGGAGCATAAAGACCAAATGTTTTGATTTTTATTTTGGATTGTGGACAAAAGTGGCAATAGGACTGCTACAAACCAAGGACGGTGGAAGGATTTGCTGCACTTTTTACTAACAAGTACCTGAACTCATTGAAAGTTGCATTTGTATTGCTGCTTTGTTCATGCGGTGGGACAAGATATTTGACAGTGAGTGTACAGACAGCTTAATCCAGAAACAGACTACAAATTGTACCAGAGATAACAAGGTGTAGAGCTGAATAAACACAGCAGGCCAAGCAGCAGGAAAGCTGATGTTTCCGGCCTAGACCCTTGTTCAGAAATTTTGATTTCTGAAGAGGGGTCTAGGCCTGAATCGTCAGCCTTCCTGCTCGGCCTGCAGTGTTCATCCAGCTCTACACCTTGTTATCTCAGATTCTCCAGCATCTACAGTTCCTAATATCTCTGAAACAAATTGGACCAGTTGTCCAGACAAGAAACCAGCAACATCACAACAATGGTGTCTGGTCCTGGGCAGGAGGACAGTGACAGAGAGCAACCAAGAGGCAAAAGGTCTCCAAACTGTAAGAGACATCATCTCTCTTTCTACTTCTTTAGTGAAGGAATCAATACCTGAAAGATAGCTAATCTCCACCATCTGCAAAAACCTGTTGCTTCTGACCTGTGACTGAGAAATGAACAGTTCACCTGCTAACTGTTCTGTCTTCAGCAGAGCACTTGAATACAAAGATCAAAGATCAGAGATCCAAAACAAAAAGGAGTTGGAAGAAGCAAAAGGGACATTCATTGAATCCTGTGGAGTGGTACTATCAAACTGTATTCATTTAATTTTCTTTTCTTCCCCACTATTTGTAAGGAGTGTCATCAAACAGAGGGACCTGTGGTGCAGGTGGGGAAGTGACATTACACGTAGGCAGGGTGGGGAGGCGGCATTTGGCACACTTGCCTTCAACGGTCAGAGCATTGAAGACAGGAAATTGGATGTCATGTAACATCTGCACAAGACATTGGTGAGGCCACATTTGGAATACTGTGTGCGATTCTGGTCGTCCTGCTATACGAAGGACATTATTAAAAAGGAAAGGGTGCAAAAAAGATTTACATGGATGTTACCAAGATTGTAGGCTTGGAGTTATAAAGGAGAGGATGGGAGTTTTTCACCCCTTAGGAGACTGAGCAGTGACGTTATAGAGGTTTATAAAATCATGGTCAGAAGTTAGACGACACCAGGTTACAGTCCAACAGGTTTATTTGAAATCACAAGCTTTCAAAGCACAGCCCCTTCATCAGTTGAAGGAAGAGAGAAGCACACGGGCACGGATTTAATGGCAGAGAGATCAAAGGATCATACAACTGGTGTGTCGGCACGCTGAATAATAGGTCTCTGCAGGTGATCAAGAGTTCCCCAACTGGGAGGGAACATCCCTGTGTGGCGACTTGTTACATGGTGTCCATTCATGTCACTGTCTGCATGGTCTCATCAATATACCATGCCTCTGGGCATCCTTACCTGCAGTGTATGAGATAGACAACACTGCCCAACTCACATGAGTATCTGCTGTATACATGGTGGGTGGTGTTCCCATGTTTGATGGTAGTGTCCATGTCGATGATCAGACAGGCCTTGCAGAGGCTGCCGTGACAGGGTTGTATAGTGTTGTGGTCAGTGTTCTCTTGAAGGCTGGATAGGTTGCTGCGAAAAATGGTCTAAGGTTTAGTGGTTGATTGAAGGTGAGACCATGCAGATGCTATGGCAATGGATGAATGGACACCACGTAACAAATAGCCACACAGGGATGTTCCCTCCCAGTTGGGGAACTCTTGATCACCTGCATAGACCTATTATTTAGCGTGCCGACACACCAGTTGTATGATCCTTTGATCTGTCTGCCATTAAATCTGTGCCTGCTTCTCTTTTACTTCACCTGATGAAGGGGCAGCGCTCCAAAAGCTTTTGTGATTTCAAATAAACCTGTTGGGCTATAACCTGGTGTCGTGTAACTTCTGACCTTGTACGGCCCAGTCCAACACCTCCATGTTATAAAAATCATGTGGGTGCATAGAAAGGTGAAAAGCCAAGGTCTTTCTCCCCCCCAGGGTAGAGGAGTCCAGAACGAGAGGACATAGATTTAAAGGTTGGAGGGGTAAAATTTAAAGGGGACCTGAGAGGGAACTTTTTCCACGCAGAGGGTGGCACGTGTACAGAACAAGTTGACAGAGGCAAGTACAGTTACAGCATTTAAAAGGCATCTGGACGGGTACACGAATAGGAAGGGTTTAGAGGGATGTGCACCAAATGCAGGCAAATGGGATTAGTTCCATTGAGGAAACCTGATTGGAATGGACCAGTTGGACCAAAGGGTCCGTTTCCAACATTACAACACCGAGTACACATCGAAAGCATGTCATTGGCTGCAAACTACTTTGGAAAGTCTAAAGGCTGGGGATTGTAGGAAAGCAAGTCTCTCTTTCCAACTGATAGTAGGAACTGCAGATGCTGGAGAATCTGAGATAACAAGGTGTAGAGCTGGATGAACACAGCAGGCCAAGCAGCAGAGGAGCAGGAAAGCTGACGTTTCCAGCCTAGACCCTTCTTCAGAAATGGGGGAGGGGAAGGGGGTTCTGAAATAAATAGGAAGAGAGGGGGAGGCGGATAGAAGAGAAGGTAGGTGGAGAGGAAACAGACAGGTCAAAAAGAGGTGGGGATGGAGACAGTAAAGGAGTGTGTAGGTGGGGAGTTAGGGAGGGGATAGGTCAGTCCAGGGAGGACGGACAGGTCAGAGGGGCAGGATGAGGCTAGTAAGTAGGAGATGGGGGTGGGGCTGGAGGTGGGAGGAGGGGATAGGTGGGAGGAAGGACAGGTTTGGGAGGCAGGGATGAGCTGGGCTGGTTTTGGGATGTGGTTGGGGGAGGGGAGATTGAAGCTTGTGAAGTCCACATTGATACCATTGGGCTGCAGGGTTCCCAAGCGGAATAGGAGGTGCTGTTCCTGCAATCTTTGCGTGGCATCGTTGTGGCACTGCAGGAGGCCTAGGATGGACATGTCGTCTGAGGAATGGGAGGGGGAGTTGAAATGGTTCGCGACTGGGAAGTGCAGTTGTTTAGTGCGAACCGAGCATAGGTGTTCCGCAAAGCGGTCCCCAAGCCTCTTTCCAACTGTTTGCCAAATGATAATGTTGGCAACAACAGCACAATCCATAAATGGTCTCAGGGACAAATAGCCAGTTTGACAGCCTCAGTGCGCTGCTTGAAAGAACAACGTTGACCAGAAACACAGCACAATTCTGTGCTCTTTCAAAAAGCCTCGGGGATCCTCGACATTACATGAACTGTCTGTCACTGCCTTTATTTGGCACTGGTTCAAAAAGATAACACTTCCATCAATAACCTCAAGGAGGTAATGCAGCAACTAGTCACTTTAGGTAAAAAGCACGCCCATCACTCATCTGAATTCCCAGTTTTCCTTCAACTTCAAAAACAGATCTACAGATTTACGTTCATAAGCCAGGTTGCCCATGTGCAGAATTGCAGCCATCAGTTTGGAGATCTCCCAGTTCTCTGTGTCAGTGAACATGAGAACCTTCATGGCAGAGCGAATGTTGGCGTACTCTTTATTATCATCACGGCCATCACAGAAGGTGCACTGCCCCTGAAACACACAATGCAATACAGTATCAGCCATACGTAGGCAGTGGGTGTGGAGCTACATGGAGTGTGGTCAACATGAGGGGTCCTTGTGCCTTAATGCACAAGAGGAACACTTCACCCAGTCTAGAGGAAATCTAGAATTGGTCTCCGAGAAAGACATCAAATATCTGTTGAGTGAATCAGAAAAGAATATATATATATTCAAACTGTTCAGTGGAGGTTATTACACACCTCTGAAGCAGGGTGGGGCTTGAGCCCAGGCCTCCTGGTCTGGGGTAGGGACACTACCTGTGACCAGCAGTGTTCCACAGGGACCAGTTCTGGGTCCTCTTTTGTCTGTCATTTATATAAATGATTTGGAGGATAATGTTGAAGGCAATGGTTAGTAAATTTGCTGACAACACCAAAATTGGTGGGATAGAATACCTTCTTCACTGTCTACTAAGATTAGAGAGGGATCTTGATCAAATGGGTCAATGGGCTGAAACATGGCAGATGGAGTTCAGTCTGGATAAGTACGAGGTATTGCATTTTGGTACAAACATGAGTAGGGCTTGTACGATTAATGGTAGATCCTTGGGTAGTGTTGTAGAACAGAGACCTGATGTTCAGGTATATAATCCTTTGAAAACCGAAAGAACTACAGATGCTGTAAATCAGGAACACAAACAGAAGTTGCTGGAAAAGCTCAGCAGGTCTGGCAGCATCTGTTTTAAAAAAAAAGTGATGTTGTTTCAGGTGCAGTGACCCTTCCTCAGAACAAAACGCTAGCTCTGATTTTCTCTTCAGAGATGCTGCCAGACCTGCTGACATGTGGCACATACAGACAGGGGGGTTTAAAAAGGCGTTCGGCACACTTGCCTCCATTGCTCAGTCCTTTGAGTACAGGAGTTGGGATGTCATGTTGAGGTTGTACAGGACATTGGTGAGGCCTCTTCTGGAATACTATGTCCAGTTCTGGTCGCACAGTTAGAGGAAGGATGCTAGCAAGCTGGAGGCGAGGTTCAGAAGGGATAGAGCAGGATGTTGCCAGGAATGGAGGGTTTGAGTTATAAGGAGAGGCTGGGACTTCTTTCACTGGAGTGCAGGTGGTTGAGAGGCGATCCGATAGAAATTTATAAAATAATGAGGTATACAGTTAACAGTAGTTGCCTTTTCTCTAGAATGGGTGACTTCAAGACTGGGGGCACATTTTTAAAAAGGGAGAGAGGAGAGAGATTTAAAAAAAAAAAAAAAACCATGAGATTTCCTTTCCCCCCCACACAAAGGGTGGTTTGCGTGTGGAATGAACTTCCTGAGGAAGTGGTGGACACAGGTACAATTAATGTTTAAAAGACAAGTACATGAATGGGAAGAGTTGAGGGATATGGGCCAGGAGCAGGCAGGCGGGATTAGTTTAGTCTGGAATTATGTTCTGCATGGACTGGTTGGACTAAAAAGGGGCCGTTTCTGTGCTGTATGACTGTACCACTGACTATCATGGTGCCACAAGGAGGACTTTCAGGAAAAAGAGAGTGATAAAAAAAATGAAAGGTAAAGACCAGAGTGATCCAATTGAATACTAGAATAGTTTGGTGGGCTGTAAAATCTCCCAAGATCTCCAAAGTGGGTTGATGTTATAACCGCCACACAGGGTAGGTTTGTAATTTTAACATTGCCCCTTCAAATGAAGGTTCAACGGTGGGACACATTCTGATAGTGTAGGGTTCTCCAGAAATGGCAGGAGTGGTGGGGTGGGGCCATCTGGACGACCACACCATCTCCTGGCAGCCTGTTGGAACATCGGAAGGGTGAGGAAATAGCCGAGAGTGTGATCTCATGATCGAATATGCAAACATTCAACCATGCAGGTTAAGAGCAGGAGCAGGCCTTTTGACTCCTCGCTCCTTCCCGGCCATTCAATAAGATCACAACTGATCACATTGTGGTCACAACTGTTTTGCTGATTCCACCCAATATGCTTTGACTTTAGTCAAGAATCTCATCTCCGTCTTAAAACACATTCAACGACACAGCCACTACAAACACACTGGGTAAGAAATTTCCCCATACTGACAACCCTCGGGAGGAAAGATTTCCTCATCTTCATCTGAAATGGGATATCCCTTGTTTCTAAAACCATCTCCTCTAGCTTGGACACCCAAGAATTGTTTTTGTTGAAACGCTCAGCACATCTGGCAGCATCTGTGGAGAGAAATCAGGGATAATGTTTTGGTCCAGTGACCCCTCCTCAGAGCCTTCCTCGAGCTCAGTCCTCTCCTGCATGTGGAAACATCCTTTTGACATCCATCCTTGCCAAGTCCCTTCAAAATCTTACATGTTACAATAAAGATCAACTCGCCTTTTTCTAAACGCCAGTGGATGTAGGCCTGGCCTAAATAGCCTTTCCTTATAAAGGTAACCCCCACTCCAGAGACCCAAGCACAAAGCTCTTTGCTGTATCTCCAGTGCAGTACAAAGGGAATATTTTGTTGGAGGAGGCATATTTCAAATATAACATTAGATTTATCTACTGTCTCAGCTTTTCAATAAATTCTTGTGCAAAATGTGGACATTGCTGGCAAGGCCAGCATTTGTTGCCCATTCCTAACCACCCCTTGAACTCAAAGGCTACATTTCAGAGGGCATTGCTGTGGGTCTGGAGTCACATGTAGGTCAGACTGGAAAAAAGGACCAGAGATTCCCTTCCCTAAAGAGCTTTAGAGAACCAGACTGGTCATTTTTTTTAAAAAAACAAAGTGTTACATGGTCACCATTAGACTAACTTTAAATTCCAGACATTTTTTATGCCGTTCAAATTGCACCATCTGTCTTGGTGTAATTCGAGGCCATGCCCAGAATGTGGGCTACCAGTCTAGTGTCATTTTTCCACTCAAATTGCTGGAAAAGCTCAGCAGGTCTGGCAGCATCTGTGGAGAGAAACCAGAGTTAATGTTTCGGGTCGAGGGACCCTTCCTACTGTGCCGTGGCCTCATCTAGAGCCAAAAAGAGGAAAAAAGGTTCTGTAAGGCACTATTGCAAACAACAGATCCTGCCTTAAATTTTAATCTCCCAATCAGTTAGTACAGATTATCTGGTCATTACCAAGTTGCCGCTTGTGTGATCCTGCTGTGTGTGCAAACTTTACCTGCATTTCCTGAATGACAGTGACTATACTTCATGAGCTGCCAATTGAACATAGAACAGTACAGGCCCTTCGGCCCACGATGTTGTGCCGACCTATTATCCTATTGAGATCCCTGCATACCCTACATTTCACTATCCTCCATGTGCCTATCCAGGAGGCGCTTAAAAGTCTCTAAAGTATCTGACTGAACTGGGACATGTTCACATTGTCATAAATGCAGTTTTTCCCTTGCAAATCTATAAGACTGCCTTTAAATCACTCATTGCTACCCATTTAGGATCAATACATTGAATGTGCCTCAAAAATCAATCAGCAATCCCCCACCCCGACTCCATTCAGGTCTCACCATTGTTAAGTAGGTGTAATCCGTAGCTCTGCTCAGACCCAGTACCTTCTTCTGGTCCATGCTCATTCCCATCAACATACAATAAAAGATGTGATAGTTCCTCTCCCCATCAGCCTATAGAGAAAGTGGAACAAATGGAAACAAAGTTAAAAACAAAACAAAAAACATATGAGGACAGCAAATTAAACTGAACTGGTTGGCCAACTACTGGAATGTTTAATAGGGTCCAAATGCTTAAACAAAAGCTATTAATTAACTGAGAGAGATAGTAGGAACTGCAGATGCTGGAGAATCCGA